CGGCGCCACCTCTTAGGTCCACCATGATATTTGGAGAACAGACCTTAAAGTACCGCACACATTCCTGCTTCTTATGGAATGACGACATTTTTGCACCTGTTCATCTTTTCTTGTGTTTTTTTTTTCCCAAACTAGTTTTGCTTCGTTGGTCACCAGCAACACAAAGTGTAAGTTTCTCAGAAGTCAAGGAAATAATTGCAATTCTCTTATCAAGCACTTCAGAGTCCAAGAGTCCATAAATTAGTCAAAGACAATTTGGATTAAAGCTGTTGTACCTCTATTTTCCCAGTTCACCACGTTCGATAGACGATTCATAGAGCTAACTCACTGCTCATTTTGCAGATGAAAATATTTCATTTTTGCTTGCAAACCTCCTTTTTGTGGACAAAAACTAGATGAAAACTGAATAAAAGTCACGCAGAATGATCAGCACTGTGACGAAGAGGATTTTAATTGTCATGGAACGACAAACTTGGTTATGTTTTACTGAGATTTTTTTCTCCTCTATAAATTAAAACATACTTTTAAAATGGAAAGAAAATGGTTCACAATTTATAAATATTAAAAAAAAAATTGGTGCTGTGCCTCTATCAGCCTTAAGTGTACATTCTCAATTGGATTTAACTCCTGACTTTGACTGGGCCGTTTCAACACAGGACGTCTTTTTGATCTAAACTGTTCTATTGTCTGTTTGTTTCGGTTTGTTTTCCTGCGGGAAGGTGAACCTCCGGCCAAGTCTGAAACCTTTTGTCTCTAACTTTTTCTTTTCTTTTGCACAGTTGCCCCTTTCAGCTCCAGTTATCTTTCCATTGACTGAAGAAAAGCCTTCCCTCAGCATATATTACTGTATTTAAGGTGAACTGCTTTAGTTGTTTTTGTTTTGCCATATAGCACTTTGCATGTGGGCCAGAAAGTTTATTTTGAGTCCTGCTAAACCAGAGCACCTTTTCCACATATTTTTCATTTCCTCTTTCCTCTTTTTGTTTGTATTAAATCATTAAATCCGAGTCATATAAAGACGTTTGCATTCAGTTCCAGGAGGAACGAATACTTCAGCAAGTCAGTCGGTGATCGGATTGCAGATTACACTTATTCCTGGGTGTCACCATTTTCCACTTTGTTCCTTGTGTGTCTGCAGCTGTGGTGAGTCGTGGGCCAACACTGCTGCACCGCAAATGAAATATAACAGGCCGACTACAGAATTGGGCAAGAAAAATGAGCGAGGAACAGGAAAGCTCGATGACACGGCGGACAAATGGAGCTGGAATTAGGGAGGCCGGTGAACAGGGAACAATGGAAACACCGGATAGATCATCAGCTAGGAAGCAGCTGAGGGGAAGTAGATGGAGCTGCAGCGGAGGAGGGGTGGAGGCAGGAAGGCTCATTCTGCAGAGACAAGAGATGCAGCTCAAACGGAACAGACAGGACATTTCAATCGAGCCCTGATGTCTCTTCTGGAGATTTGCCTCTTTGGTAACATCTAGTGGAAAAGCCAGCAAAACACAAAATGACACTTTGACCTGCGTTTCTGCTTCAAGCCCAATGTGGCTGGATGCGCTTTCCCTTCCTGCTTATATTGCATAAGGAATACCTTTAGTGGAAAAAGTGTTTGCGGTGGAATCGAATCAGCTGAAGATGCCAGTAAGGCTAATGATTCAGGTTAAGAACCCTTCAGTATTTACACTGCTCTATATTTGAAACCTTTCTGTTGTGAAACTAGGATATTTCTGAAGACATTTAAACGGGGCCATGCCGTCAAACTTTAGCATCAATGCTAAGGTAAGGTAAGCAACGACGTAGTCAACAGTAAGTGGAGAAACACAGACATGATGACGAGCATGGACCATTCAGTATCGAAACATTAGTGCACGACCTAGAATTAGCCGAAATGCTAATGCTATCCTAAAATGCTTATTTAAGGCAGGGCCCTATAAATTAAAGTGATACCATTGCTCTCCCACCTATCCTGGCACAGCTAACTATTTCCACTAAAAACTATTTTGCATAAATATAACAAACTTTTAGAATCGAACAAAACAAACATTGTGACAGTTTATATTGATTTTGCCAGGGTAGATCCATATTTATCAGTGAAAATGATGCAACTCTAATATAACAAAAAATTTGTTGCATTTCTACTAATTCTTAAAATGTATTTACTTGATAACATTAGCTAAACTGTGGCAGAGTTTCAGATAGTTTCACAGAAATGAGATAATAGAACTGACTAAATGGGTTCAAGACGACTATTATCATGATCCTCTTCATTATTATTATGTATAGAATCGCTGCATCTTGTTGAAGAACAAGATCACCGAAACAATCTTCCTTCACAGAAACTACATTTCCGGCCATCAGGCAAACACTCACTTCCATGCGGGTCATGAATGTGAAATGTACGCGTTTGTGGCCCAAGGTGGTGAAGAAGCATCTTGAGAAAAACCCACCCGTGCGCAGCGTGGAGCACTGTGAACTCGACACAGTTAAAAGCGTCGACCTTCTGCCCAGGCAGCAGATCAGCAGTTTGACAGATCATCTGATCATTTCTCTCCTGAGTGCACTTTGTTTCAAAAAGGTTCGGACGGGTGCACCCTTACCACCATGTTGCGTCACACCATGCACACCATGTCCAACACCTTGTGAGTGTTTGGGAAGACAAGGATCCACCAGTTTGACGTCTTAAAACAAATTGCTTTGTTTTGTCGAGGAAGCAGGAGGTGCAGCTTCGCCCTGCGACATGGACAAACCGTCACAGTGGATCAGAATATTTATGCATTATTTATCTATTTATACCTGTAGACGTCAGTGACTGTTTTCTCCATATGCTGTTGAATTTCTTTAGATCAACAGCATTTCAGCAGAATTTCTTTAGATAATAGCTCACTTCATGTTTTCAGACAGGCTCTCTTTACAAAAAAAAAAAAAAACAAACCCAGACTCGACTACAAATAACATTGCTCCTGTTCAAAATGTTTCTGCAGCACAGACTGCCAAGAGCAGCTCCGCGGTCAGGAGGCGTTCACAGGCCGCGACATGTTTGATCTGTGGAGAGGCGGCTGCGTGCTACGAGTCTCTCGGACGTGCAGGAAATGAACTTAAGATGCAAATAAAGTCCTCGCGTTACACGTCACTTGGCAACAGACGCGAGCGAGTGGGAGTTTGGTGGAAGGGGCTCCTGCCTCGGTCCTTGAGCAAGTTTTATTCTTGCCCACGTCAAAGTCCACTGGTGGCCGACTTGGGTTCGATTCCTGTTTGGCGCCAACAAACTGTTTGGTCACGCCCTAAAGAAACAATGTTCACATGAAAACAGAAGAGTTTTTAAACATGGACGGACTGGAAAAATATCCACATTTAAAACGAATTTTATTTGAACTTTTTTAACATCACGCCGACTTCAGCTACATCTTTATATGTTTGCAGATGTTGCAGGTCTTGATGATGACATGTGATCAATTTGGAATAAACTACACTCACTATTTAGTGACTATTTAGTACAGTGATGAGAAAAGAAGCACAGCAAGGAGAATGCTCTAGTTTTTTATTAATCGTGAGATGAACAACAATGAAGCCGTAGAAGTTTCCAGAAAGCATAGAGTGTAACTTGTTGGCCTTATAATCAGTGAATATTTTATTATCATCTCACTGAAGTGAGAAGATACCAGCTTTCTATTTAAGTTCAGCGATTCTGTGATTATCTTACAGTTAAGATGAAAGTGATGCAGGATGCGGACGAGGAGTTTAATATGTGGAGCCACCAGTGTTTAATCACAATAATAAAAGAACCATTTTTTAGATTTAGCGTTTAGGTTTCAGAGCAGGAAGCAAAACCCGCACAAGTGCCAACAATCTGAAACGTCAACAAACCGTGAAAATTAAAAAAGTGTTCTGCAGACACACAGGCGGCATCAAAACACACTTGCTGTGGAAACACACCAAACATAATCGCTACTGGTAGAAAGACAGAAAATACACAAATACAAGCAAAAACATAGTCGGAGCATTAAAATAAAAAGGTCAATATCCATGACATCGCAATATGTTGGAGTCCACTTGACAGGCTTTCAATCTGCACACTCGTCTATGTTGGACTGTAGTGTTGTACAGTAGTTTGTGATTTTTAACACACTGAATTAAACCATGATAATAATGACCGACTCCAAACAGACATTTTGTGTTTTTGCTGCCATGAGATACTGAACAGCAGTTAAATGTTTCTTTGCAGCTTAGAAATGAACCGAAATGGACACAATACACTAAATTGAATTTATAAACCCAGCATAAAAAGTAAGGCAACATGTAAATTGGTTGATTTTTGTTTGTTTTTTATTTTTATTTTTTGTATTGTGGCAATACAATAATTGCTATACAGTCGTAAAGCCCAACTGAAATGTAAGGATGAGCAGCTCACAAAGACTTTATAACAAGTCTTTCTAAAATGTAATCTGACCTTCAGTCTTTGTTTAGCGTTTAATATTTTATTTTTTTTAGATGGTGTCTAAGCTGTGAAACGGGATAATTATTACGCAAAATGTTACTGAAAATATTAGACTGAAATGATAGCAAATGTGACAAGATGCCAAATCCTAAACACACAAATGTCTACAACTCATTCAAAGGTATGAAAACCAAAATAAAAAGTCTTGATGTTGTCAGTATCTGGCCAATTAAGTGCTGATTTCTTATGTTTGACTTCCTATTTACTCGGTTTCTGTTCTTTAGTTATTATAAACATAATGAGACACTACAAACGATGTAACCCTTCTCAGATGTAAAAGCTACACAGCAAATGACAAAATGGTAGATAACCTCAACACTTGCAAGGCAGTGTTTTGAATCTTTACTGCTTGATACTGCTTAATTTTTAAAGGACATCCTTGGACTTAAAGGCAAACAAATGTGTCTTCCAGCTACGGCCATCTCAAAATTATATTGTATAATCGTGAAACTGATGATAAAGATATATCTGACTATTACCACGTCAGTGGTAAGATGAACTAGATTGTTTTTTTTTTATCATTTTAATACATGTTCAAGACACCAGTTTGATGAACCCTCCCCTTAACTGTAAATGAGGTCAATTTAATCATGTCACCCTTTATAATTGTAAATCTTAATGCAGTGGTGCATGCTGTCGGACACGGCAAGAAGCCCGTCTGGTGTTAAGGTCAGGCCACGTGGGCTGCTCAGTCCCTGGCGTACGATGGGCCAGCCCACGCCTTGAGCAGGGTACAACACAATTCTGTGCTGCTCTCCCCAGTCTGCAACTAAGATGTTGCCGTCTTTATCGATGCATATGCCCCAGGGGCATGTGAGGACTGGTCCCATGCCAGCACATACACCAAGAACTCTCACTGTGTTCCAGCTTGGCTCCAGAACTTTGATGCAAGGCACTCGTCCTGTTTCATTGCCCCTTTCGGACACTGCTATCATGCCCGAGCTCAAGCAGGTCGCCACCAAGTAAGGCCTGTGGAATCCGGTCACCACTGTGCGTTCAAGCCTGGAGCCCGTTTTAGGGTCAAGCTTCAGGGCTATGAGGGTACCTTTTCTGATATCAGCTACCAAGAATTCATCTAGTCTAGTTACAGCCACCCCTCGGGGAGCTTCTAGCTCATCCTTTGCAGAGCCCAACGCAGATCCTCCAAAGGTCTGGAGCAGGCGACCATGTCGGCTGAACACAAGCAAAGCTCTTTCCGCAGCACAGCTTAAGGCGATGAGACCCTTGGCATTGACGGCGATGTCAAAGTAGTTTCGGCATCTTATGGAGGAGCCACTGATGTTTGGGGAACTTACTTGCTGAAGGACATTCCCCTGAGGGTCAGTCACCTGTTTGAAAATTTACATTCAGTTAAATTTTCAATAGTAGACATTATATTTATGCTTAAGCAAAGAAGACAAACCTGGATACGTGCATTTCCACAGTCAACTATAAAGAGCTGCCCCTGTGCTGTGGCATGGATACCACTTGGCAGGGTAAGATCAGCCCGGCCTGAACCTTGCCTCCCAAACTGCCCCATGAGATGAACACTGCTTGCGGTGAACTCCATAAGCAATGGATCAACCTCTTCCTCCAACTCCACCAGGGCTGGCTCTCCTCTTTCCTCTCTGCCTCTCTTGTGTTCTTGAGAGGAACCATCGATGACTGACATCGACAATGACCGAGCCACAGGGACTTGTCTTAACCCAGTTGTGGATTTCTTCGACTGTGGCAAGACGCTATGACCAACATGATTAGGGTATGAGACGATCTGACTGCTGTCAAATCCTCTACTTAGAGGTGGTGAGGAGCTCAACATGGAGCTGAAGTTGCCACTTCTAGCTTTGCATAATTCTTGCTTATTTGCGGCACTACTAATCAACGGCCTTGTCTTGTGTGTTAAATCCACTGCCGACTTGGACAGGTGACAACTGTGATTTAAAGAGCCTTTGTTCAAACTGAAGTCGTGTGATGGGCTAACAATAAATGTGTAGGTGGAGTCAAGGCTGTCTGCTGGAGATGGCGCACGTCCGGAATCACCCAACGTCCCCAGAGAGTGTTCATCGGAAGACTGGCTAAGACGAGAGTGTGATCTCACTTTGGAGGTGATATCTAGGCAGCTTTGACTCACCAAATGATCTCTTGGAGCCATCCTAGCAGACGTTAGTGTACTACTAACAGAAGGCCTATTATTTGAATCAAGCCTTCCTTTTCTTTTTTCTACCCCATTGTTATCTGGGCTCAAGCAACGACTCATCTTGGCAGATTCCTGACGTCGCTCGGGGGAAGGGGACGCTTTTCTACTAGTGGCCACAGAAAGCATCTTCCTCTGATTAGAGGGTGAGCAATATTTTCCAGCACTGCTCATTGTGCATACCAGGTCTTTTGCTTTGATATCCTTATTTTCAGCAGAAGGCAGAGCCAAAAATAACTTCTCCCCTTGTTGCTCAAAGCAACTTTTATCCATCTCATCAACTTGGGATGCTTCCCAGTCAAACTGTTCACATTTCGGCAGCCAGTGGTGTATCTTTGCAGAAGAAAGCTTCTGCTCTTCCTGTGACTCTACATCACCACGATTTAAGAGGTTGATCCTTTTGACTGTCCTGCCTGTTGGTGATGTCCAACCGTGTCCTTGCGTGCTTTTTGCTCTTTCAGAACTTTGTTGGTTTATGTCTTCACAATGCATCTCCTGTGAATGTAAGGCACACAGCTTTCCATTTGGCCCACAGCCTCCAACATTCAGACACAGATGTTGCTCCTCCACTCGAATGTCTCCAAAAGTTACTGCATTAGGCTGGGAGCTTGGTTTGAAGTTTACTTTCTTGAGGGCAACAGAAATTTCCCAGGGCTGCAGGAGCTCTGAAATCTCCTCTAGTAGGGGTTTTTTGTTTGGGCCCTTTTCAGATGGAACAGGCTGACTCATTGTCTGGAGTCGTCTTTGAAACCGGACCAACTTCTCAAACCTTTGCTCCAACAGAGACTGACTCGCCCTGGCGGCTGCCATGTTCTCCCTCTCAACTTGTTCCAATCGTTGCTGAGTGTCCCGATGGTCCTGCTCCACCCTCTCCAGCAGACGCTTCTCTTCTGTACGTGCTCCGAGGATCGCCCGTTCTACGCCCCGCTTCACCGTCTCAATCTCAGTTGCGTGACGGAGCCGTATCTGACGTAGCTCCTCCCTGGCCTGGTCGAGGTCACTCTGAGCCTGGGCTGCCCAGCAGGGAAGCGAATGATGTGGCGAAGACGACGAAGGTCCATCTGACTGAGAGTCTGGACTTTTGGGGTCTGGACCGTTTGCTTGGACGGGACGGGTTGAACTGCTATCGAGAGGGGTTCCCTCAAACATCTTGAAACGATGGTAAGCTTTGTTCTCAATATCTGGAAAAAGAAAGTGGATGAAGAATTATTATAAATACAGACGATACTAGAAGGATTGCTATGAAACAAGAAAGGGGACAGACTGTTTCTCTTTTCTTTTCACAGCGACTGTGGAAAAGATCAAGCGACAGGCAAAAAAAAAGGTTTGACTCCAACACTGAGAATTCGACTCGTGTTGAAAGCCGTGATAGAAAAGGAATCCAGAGAGGGCAAGAGTAGGAGGTATGGAGTGTCAACAGTACTTCTCGGCTCCCCGGTACCGAGAGTAGGTTTTACTTTGATGTTTTATTCATAAAGTGAATAAAGTGATGCAGAGCAACGATAGTGAAAGTTAGTCTTTTTCTCTATAATAAATATGTAGGAGCTCTTTTTATGTTTTTTTTTTTTTACCCAGGACCAAATAGGAAAGGCTTCAAATGGTTTAATGTTTAGTTGCTCCTGCTTATTAGCCTTGTACAACTGAAACCTTTTCAAAGTACCGGTTTTGTTTTTAATGGCGAAGACGAAGCTCATTTAAATTGAGCTTTTAACAGTTAAATTGGGGTTTTCTTGACAAATATAGATCATGTGTCACTGGAAATTACATATTTGTAATGAGAGGATGGATTTTGTTCCTGCATCACTGGCACAGGCGGCGACTTGTAGATTATTTATGTTGACATTTGTGACCGAGGCACTGGGTCCGGACTGGCCCTTTGTCATCAGGCTCCTGATCACATTGCAAAACTACATTATGCATCCGAGGGATCCGGTTTCACATCGTATGACCCACATTTGAAAGCGCAAGAAGAGATACTGCTAAAAACAGACAAATAAACAAATAAAGCAAAGTTTAATGTAGTGAGATTATTTAATTGTATTCAAAAAGATATTTTCTGCAACTTAATGCAACACTTCTACTTTAAATAATGCAACATTGAAAACTGAACAAGTAGCTTTTTTTAAAAAAATAAAAGCAAAAAAAACACACAAAAACCCCCCAATCCATCACTTTGCCTTACCTGTCGTCCTGTCACAGTGCTGCAGTGATCCTCTGCTCTTCTTCACCACATCGCTCACCCACTTCACTTTTATCACCAACCTTACCCCCTCCTCCCTCCTTCCCCCTGCCCCCTCCCCCTCCAATCATTGTGCAGTTTTACTTCTTGTTGGCTGTTGCTAGGATACTGCCAAGCTGACTCCAGTTTCCTCTGTGTGCATTCACTCTGAAACATGTGCATTCACTCTGAAACACGTGCATTCACTCTGAAACATGTGCATTCACTCTGAAACATGTGCATTCACTCTGAAACATGTGCATTCACTCTGAAACATGTGCATTCACTCTGAAACATGTGCATTCACTCTGAAACATGTGCATTCACTGAAACATGTGCATTCACTCTGAAACATGTGCATTCACTGAAACATGTGCATTCACTCTGAAACATGTGCATTCACTGAAACATGTGCATTCACTCTGAAACATGTGCATTCACTGAAACATGTGCATTCACTCTGAAACATGTGCATTCACTCTGAAACATGTGCATTCACTCTGAAACATGTGCATTCACTCTGAAACATGTGCATTCACTCTGAAACATGTGCATTCACTCTGAAACATGTGCATTCACTGAAACATGTGCATTCACTCTGAAACATGTGCATTCACTGAAACATGTGCATTCACTCTGAAACATGTGCATTCACTCTGAAACATGTGCATTCACTCTGAAACATGTGCATTCACTCTGAAACATGTGCATTCACTCTGAAACATGTGCATTCACTGAAACATGTGCATTCACTCTGAAACATGTGCATTCACTCTGAAACATGTGCATTCACTCTGAAACATGTGCATTCACTCTGAAACATGTGCATTCACTCTGAAACATGTGCATTCACTCTGAAACATGTGCATTCACTCTGAAACATGTGCATTCACTCTGAAACATGTGCATTCACTCTGAAACATGTGCATTCACTCTGAAACATGTGCATTCACTGAAACATGTGCATTCACTCTGAAACATGTGCATTCACTGAAACATGTGCATTCACTCTGAAACATGTGCATTCACTCTGAAACATGTGCATTCACTCTGAAACATGTGCATTCACTCTGAAACATGTGCATTCACTGAAACATGTGCATTCACTCTGAAACATGTGCATTCACTCTGAAACATGTGCATTCACTCTGAAACATGTGCATTCACTCTGAAACATGTGCATTCACTCTGAAACATGTGCATTCACTCTGAAACATGTGCATTCACTCTGAAACATGTGCATTCACTCTGAAACAAGTGCATTCACTCTGAAACATGTGCATTCACTCTGAAACATGTGCATTCACTCTGAAACATGTGCATTCACTCTGAAACACGTGCATTCACTCTGAAACACGTGCATTCACTCTGAAACATGTGCATTCACTCTGAAACATGTGCATTCACTCTGAAACATGTGCATTCACTCTGAAACATGTGCATTCACTCTGAAACATGTGCATTCACTCTGAAACATGTGCATTCACTCTGAAACATGTGCATTCACTCTTGACATGTGCCTTGCTGTCAGAGCTGTGTGCTCTGCGATTTACTCCGTCTGAAGTGTTTCAGCTGCGCGTTTGGAGTGATCAATGCCAACCTAATGCCAGCAGCCGCCTGGGTGTCGCTGATGTGAAATAATGGATCCGTTTCCCTCCTTTTGTTTTCTATAACAGAAGCATAAACGATTCAATTTCCCTCTCCCCCCCCATTGGCAAATTACATGAGCATCAACGTCTCATGAGTCTGTGATCCTTCCTTCTGCATGGACTGAAGGAAGGATCAGCGTGACTCTGGTCATAATGATTTCCATCTAATGATCGGTGCAAGTTTTCATAGTCAAGCTCGCGGCTAAAATCAGCAAAATAGTTCTGAGCAGAAGATTCAACTTCTCGTCGTTCCTTCAACATTTTTATCCATTTAAACCAGGTCATTATTTAAGTTATTAGTTATTATTGGTGTCTGTTATTTATTTAGCTCTTGTTTCAGTCGTTTTATTCTCAAACTCTGCCCGCGTTGAGGACTTTCCCACATGCTTTGAAATAAATTTGGTAACATGCGCATACTTATTGTGAGGAAATGCAGCTACATTACTCCAGTGAATGATACCCAAGAGTGGAAAACTGGCTCAGACTTATTTCAGGCTTTATCTGCCAGTATATGTGCCTTTTTCATAAGAAAAAAAACCCCAAAATCATATATCTACACTCGAACAAATGTAAAAGTACAAATAAATTTACTGTAATTTCTGTGGGATTTGAGCAGCTTTGTGTTTATTCATCACCTTAATTGATCAAACATTTAACTTTAACTACCAAGACATTAAATTTGACACAGAAAGGTTGGCACACGAACATGAAAAGAAAATAGATTGGGATAAAACGAGGGCGCGGTTTAGTGGTTGGGAAAGTGACCCAGAGTCAATTTTTATGCTTTTGAGTTTTATTGGTCAGAATGAGTCATACCTTTAGAGTTGAGCAGGACTAAAATCACTTTAATAGATCGCAAGAAATAAATAGTAAGAAACAAAATTTCCAGATATGAATTTCTTCTGAAATGTCTTTAATAACCTTTTTCTAAAGGAGGTGGCTGTAAATTAAGACAGAACTTGTGCAATGGGTCAAATGCGGTTCTGTTTGTGAAAGCAGGTCAGTTCTTCAAGAAGTCAAATCATTTTTTTAAAATGTGTTCCTGTGCATATCGTGGCAAAGGCTCTCAGAGGAAGACATTACGTATTTAAAGTCCTAAAAAGCTCCCACGTATTTATGAGTTCCTGTTGAAGCAGAACCTCCAGAACCATTTTCCATTTCCAGAACCTCCAGGTCCGGCCTGCTGTGACTGGTACGATCCCACCGACTCTCGTTCTGCTGCAGTTGTGGCAGCGACAGTGAAAAATCTGCGATGATTAATGTAAGATAGACATGTTTGCATTAAAGAATAATTTATTTCAAAAGGCAACAAAAAAATGACACCAAGACAAATGTGATATTGCTAAGCAATGAATTTATAAATTAATAAAAACTTCCCTTTGTAGTGTTCTTCCGACAGCTTTCCCACTGTGAGTTTTTTGTTGTTTTTGTGTCAGTTTTTGTTTTTTCCTCCTAGCGACGTCAAAATGTAAAAAAATATTTACGACAACATTCATCGTTACATCATTTGGAAACCGTTTCCATTCTGTCGGTTATTCCACACATCTCGATCGATCTGATTGAGCTTTTCTTTTTTTCTTTTCAAAACAGTATTTACAAGTTAAAATCATTCCACATCTTCATTCAGCTCCAGAGCAGGGATATCAGAGTGTGTTGCATAGATTGCACAGGAGATGAAAAGTTGGAGAGAGAGAGAAAAAAAAAAAACATACAGAAAGAGCTTAAACATCCGATTATGAGGGGAAAAAAAACAAAAAAACAAACACTGCATCATAACACACCATAAAATAAATGTGCTCCAGTTACATTTTTCATCCACGAGAAAAGAACAACCTAAAGGAAAGTGGAGCAAGAGAACAAAACTTGTGTTTGCAGAGAAGGCGAGAAGCAAAACGTTCTGAGTTTTGACAAAAACCCGAAAGTAAATGAAATTTTGGTGAATGTCGGATCAACTGTAGTGTATCAGCTGGATATCAGCACAATGTGCTGATTGCCAGCTGGAGGTTCATCAATCAAAACTATTTTTGTCAGTTAAAAGAGAAAAGGAACAAAAAAAAAAAGTTTTTTTTTTCTTCTCAATCTTTGACGTCTAAATTTGACGAGAAAAAAAAGTCAACGAAAATGAAAGAATCTGCAGACGGTGATTGAAACGTTGCGCCTGATCGGTGAAAGCTCCGCCCCCAGCTGCCAGGGATGACCTCTTTAATTGGCGTTTTCTATTTTTACATACTTTCACAATCACCGCCGTGATCGCTGGGAGTGCGTCCAACGAGAGGCAACTATTGTGAAGCTGAATAATAAACTTCAAGGACAAAGAAGCTTTGATTGAATTCGTCTTGTTTCTTAATTTGTGCTTTTTGTTGTCGTCTTGTTTTATTTTGCCGGTTATTATTCGACATATGCGCTGAATAAAGGTGTGTTTACAGATCGGGAAGACATTAAAGCCCCAGGAAGGACATGTTCGCTCATCAAATGCCTTTTGCCTTTTGTAATGTCTTTAAATGAAAAGGTGGGAAATGACTCAGGGAGGAACTGGAATTATAACAAAGAAGGGAAAAAAAAAATCATACATGCCTGGTTGTTAACGTCAAACCTCAAAAACATAGTTGGCACTTTCTAAAAAAAAAAGAAAAACCATAAAAGGTTAAAGTTTGGACGGATGATTACTGAGGGTAGACGTGAAAAATTGTCTTTGGTGTCCATGAATGCATCAAAGAGAAACGGGGTCAGTGACCAGGATCGCTCCAGAAACAACGGCGAATCCACCGAGACCCTTTACAATCGGGTCCAAATGGTCAACAAGAAAATCTTGAGTTTTGGAGGAGGAACCTGACGAGGCCACCGAGGAGTGAGGCGATGGGTGGCAGTGGGTAAACTTTACATGTAAAGAGAAACATTCAGCGGAGAACCTGCCCGTCTCCACTCACTCCTGCAGATAAAGGGGGATGATGTCTGTGACAGAAGCTCGTCATGCGCTGCATGAGACACGATTAAACCTATGTTTGGTTGAACCTGGCCTGAACCGGCATGCAGAAACCCCCTGTCAATAAAAAACTGTGGGCTGGTATGAAATGGATCTAGAAAGTCAGTAGAAAAGTGGCGTACAAACGTGATAAAAGACATGGCTTTAACAAGAGGAAAAAGCCTTTTTTCCCCCTAAAAGGTAGAAGAGATGAAAATGTCAAAAAAAAAAAAAAATTATATTTCAGAGATAAAGAGGTTACAGGACGTCAGGCAGTTTCTCTCTGCTGCTCGGAGTTTGGAGAAAGAGAGACAGTTAGCATGTGCAAAGAAACGCGTTCCACAGTAAAGCGATGAGTAGAAGTGATCATATCAATCTGTCCTCCATCATTTAAAATAGAGATGCAACGAGAAGTTTCAGCTCGACAGTCCCCAAAAAGTCACCAGCCAATCAGACGTTTCCAGTGTAAAGCTGGGAAGTAGAAAGATGCAAGAAGACATTAGCGAGCTAATGTGGGCTGCAGCAGAGAGCAAGAAGCAAAGACTTCACAGCGAAAACGAGCCGTTACCCATTTGAGCCTTCAACCGCATCCAATGTGGAGTTTTACAAATCTCGAGTTTCTAAAAATCTACACATTCAAATAAAAACTGCAGACTGCAGCTGTAGCACTGCTAGCATGCTAACTGCAATAATCGTTGATAAAAAGATAGAAAAGACATTTTAAATCTGTGTGATGTCACCTCTCCACCTTATGCAGCCGGTTCTAATATAATCAGAGAAAATATTTCAAATCGTTCTTAGCTTTTTTTTTTTACTGGTCTATCGAAACCAATCTGCAGGAGACAAAACTGACCCGACAGACTCCGCAGAATCCAGAGATCAGAAATCAGCCCCAAAATTCAGATCGCTGCATCTCTATAGTAAAAGCGCAGGAAATAAATCGTCAAGTAAGTGAAGGGAAAACTTGGCAAAAGCTTCTAACACTGAACTGCAACTTAATTCAACCTTTGATGCTACAAGAAAAAAAAAAGAAAAACACTGATCATGACTGGCTTCCTCACCCACACACACATTTAGATCTGGTACCTACCAACAAACTGCAGAAACAGTGGCTATGACATTAATTAAATCAATGTTAGTGTTTAAAACAGACAAAACACAACATATATAGCAGCATGTTAATTTATAAGACAAAATGTTCATTCTGGCCTTTTATCAAGACACAAGGGGAAAAAGTAAAAACTAAATAGATGGATTCTTAATTTGCATCTCACTTATTAAAAACAAAGAACTGAGAAGAGTGAATGCCTCGAGGGATTTTTTTTTTTCAAACCAATTGCAAGTCAATTGAAACCTCTTAAAATGACAGGGGAAAAAAAAACAAACAAACAACAAATAAAAAAACGACAGTGCTGTCTTTTCTGTCCCCAGCTGCTTTACGGAGACGGACTGATGAGTCAATAATGGCCTGAAAAACTGGCGTCGCCTTCGGACAGGAGTCAAAATGAACTTACACAATGGCACATGCCTACACCCACATGCTGCTGATATGTCAAGTAAAAGGTGCAAATTAAAATAAAAATAAAAAATTACACATAATAATGGCATTTAATTACCTAACACTTTCCAGGACGTTCTGTAATTCCTTTACAGAAAAAAAAAATTAAACAAAACGCTTCCCCTGTTTTTTTCTCTCCAGTTTTTAGCCGTCGTTTCAAAACAATCGACTCTGATAATGTCACCGAGTCGGACCTGCTCTTTCCTTGACCAGGACCTACACAGAAGATTAAATGCCTTGATGAAAGCTGAGACAGGCTTGCTGTACAAATATTGATTTCCTTTAAAACTTATCTTTATACTTTCAATGTTTCCCGGCCAAGAAATATTTGGTGTTCTGTTTCCATCTTCTTGCCTGTGCCACCTGAAAGCACGCTTCCTGACGAAAACATAAGGAGTATGAACTAGCACCAGTATGTGCACCTACTTCCTTTACAACACCACGGCGTGGTGGCTTTATTTACAAGCTCCCAAATCTCAAGTGTTTAGTGAGACTTAATGTGTACAGAATGTAAATATAATACATGATATGCACAAGATCTTCTGTTAAAACAACAATTCCAATCCTTTACGTTTCCTATGCTAATTTTGGTAGAAAAATGCCACCGTTTTCCTCCTGGTTTCCTATCTGCACCATTGCAGATTAATATTTCAGTGACAGAAAGTCTCAGTGCGCGAGTCTGGCGAAGGGAGAAATATGTTTTACAGCTTCAAATGAATAAAAAAAAAAAAAAAAAAAGAGAAGAAAATCCAAAGAGTCGAGTTTCAAAGGGTTTGTGTTTACCAATCTACTCCTCGGCCTTCTGGCTCCGAGGGAAAGGTAAAGTGACGGCGTGCTCTTGAGCCGTGGCTGCCAGCTCTTTGAGGAACTCGCAGAAAATGACGGCGCAGTAGACGGCGTTTTTCACCCGCAAGGCCTCGGCTTGCTTCTCCAGGCCGGACGAGCCGCTGCCGCCCCGGAACAAGGCGCTGTGCAGCGATTGGCCGCCGTCCCGGACGTGAGCGAGCGCCAGCTGAGCGGCGTGCCGGGCGCGGGTGGGGCTGTTGGTGTGCCGCAGGATCAGGTCTCCAAGCGACGGCTTTCGGCTTTTCACTGGAAAGCAGAAACGTCACGAGAAAATGTCATCGCCAAGTTTCTAAATGTTTTTCCTGATGAAGGTTTGATTTATTTTCCGCAGTTTGAATAGCATTCTGATCATTTGAGAACAAAATATTGGCCTTGAGTTGCTTAAATAGTATTTTTTTATTATTTTTTTTTGCATGTTCCACACATCGCAAAACAACACAGAACTGAAATTTGCGTTCATTTTTAAGAATGTGATTTAGTCGTTTCCTTATTTTGCATTTGTATTAACACAGTGAAGCTCTGTTTTTAGAACCTGCCAGACTTTTGTACCTTTATTACGTTTGAGAGAAACCCTCCCCCCCCAAAAAACCCTATAAAACAGCTGCTTTAAATCGACATTTTAATGAGACACAGTTAATTCAAACTCAAACATATTTGATTAACCTTAAAGGGAAAATTAAATAACAGACCAGAGGTCCAGTTCAACCTGAGTCTGAAATTGTCTAAAACCCAAAGAGGAGTGAAATGGGTCTTCACTCGCTCAGTAAGTCAAAAACAAAAAGACTGAAAAGTAACAGGTTACAGCATAATGCTTTGGACTATTATCTGTTCATGGCGTTTTTAAATTGTTAAAATGCCATGAATAGCAAGTTTGTTTTTAAAAGTAAACACTACTAATTCAATTTTATGACCTTCAAAACACAGTGAAAAGTTTATAAAGCAAACTAATCGCTTTCCCTGAGTGACTGGAGCTGCACTAAAATCTACTAACTGAATGATCAACAAGTCCTATCAAAACAAAGAACAAACAAGCTAGCATTAGCCAAACACTCTGCAGAAGAAGCAGATTATTGAGAAGTGAGTGTACGTGTCTCGTCAAATATGTCTTTAGAAACATGGAAGAAAAAAAGATTCAGAGAACTGAATGTCACAATTAACAAAAGCAGAATTACAAAATCTCTACTGACTTGGTATTGGGAACAAGAACCAACAAGACGACGCAACCTAAAAATGTTAGTTTGAAAACAAAATGTTTCTAAGTAAATGAGAACACAAAGAACTTTAATCTGAAGTGTGATGACCCATTTAGCCCTCAGCCCCAACACGTCTCCAGTTCGCTTTCTGCACTCACCTAGTGAATCAGAGCGGCGCAGTGGGGGAACGGCGGCAGCCATGTCGGTCCAGTCCACTTTCCCTCGAGCCACAAGGTACTGCTGGGCTTTCCTCAGCATGGCAGGGAAGTCTTCGTGAGAAGCTGCAAATGCCTCAATGCGGTTCTTCACAGAACCTAAAACCTGAGGACAGAAACAGGACGGAGAGCTTGAGCTGAAATGGATTCTCAAAAACTGATTGTTTATTTTTTATTTTATTTTGGTTGGTATTGTTTCTAGATGTCACGATACGCCCAAACCGGTAGGTTACGATTGGAGTCTTGAATCCAATCAAAGTAGGATCAGAGAAACTTCTACAAATTTTAACTAGAAAGAACCTTATCTGAAGAACAAACAGATCTCCATTCAGTCAGAACGGCACAGCGCTGGGGTTCGCTTGAAGCTAGCAGGAGTTGGCGTACCTGGATCAGCGACTTGACGCTGGGCTGGAAGACCATGTTGGTGTTGAGCAGGAAGGAGCGTAGGAGGGGCTGAGGATAACAGGCCAACTGGGCTACGATGCCAGTGAGCAGGATGTTGACGTAGAGCGAGTTTTGGAGCATGTTCTCCAGCTTGGCAAACAGAACCACCATGAACGGGCCTGCACACAGGAGAACAAGGGAAAAAAAAACCCCACAGAAACAAAAGGTTTTGAGTTAGAATGTGCGTTAAATTTTTCTTCCACTTTTGGTTTCTGATTATAAAGGCAAACTAGAGCTTTTTAATTCAGGTAAACAGAAGCTTTTGCTGAAACTTTAAGCAACACTAGCTGTGTTTAATACTTGCCTGAGGTGGTTTTCGCTTTTTTTTTTTTTTAGAAAAAGAGTTGATGTGCTTATGGGTAGATGGAAACTCATTTGGCAAATCAAGTCTCACACAGGGAAAGTTGCCATCCACTGGTGAGCCTCTGTGCCTTATAAGAGGCACAAAATTGAGAAAAAATGGGTAAAAAGTCCAAACCTTGAGAAATGTGTGGCCAATGCTGGCTTGTCACATCCACATCTCGATTATTACAGCCATGTGCAGCGTCAACGTCTGACGAAATTACACTTTGTGTAGCCTGGTTCCAAACCAGTAGATGGAAACAGGCCCAGTTAGCTCCTTTTTTTATTTTCTCTTTTTGTAACATTTTTAGAGGTCTCTCAAAAACTTTGCATTTGGATGGAAATTGGATGAAAACATATTAGCCACTGATGAATTTTGAATGGATAATTATTGGCTTCGATCCCAAAGAAAGAACAAACACTGACTGACATACTAAGAAAAACATCCTTTAGATTAAGCTTAATTTGGGGGTTTTCTATTCATGTCACCCATAGACTGAAAAAAACGACTAGGTGCAGGCTGCTAACGTGTGTAACAGAAACCAAAGAGAACAGCTCTTATTTAAGAATGCTGAAGAGCTGAGGAAGAGGCTTGCAAAATTATTCACGCGCCTTTCCTTTTTCTCTTTTGGTCGCAATAATTCTGTAGACCAAAACAATAAAAGTAACATTTCTTAGTATCTGGTAATTCATCTGGGAAGAAGAGCAAAAACTCTCAATTTAACAGTAAGTTCTAGCCTCTACTGACGTTCATGAAATATTGATTATTTTTGCAGAGTTTGAGTTGGTCAGTCTCATAAAATCGTAAGTTATTGTCATCCTGGGACAAAGGAGAATGGATATTTTGCAAGAAACTGCAAATGCCTCCTAAATGCTACTTTAGTTTGCTTTCTATCTTTTTCTACTGTAAAATCACTAATAAAGCACATAATTACACATACCAGGTACAGAAAGTGAATACAGATGAAGGAAGATAAACAATACCAAGTGGGAAGCAATGTTACTAGAAGGGGAAAAACATATTTGGTAATAAAGATGGCTAAAGTGTTTCCTAGCCTAAAATCTGCTAAGATTGAAGTTACAGAAATACAACAAAGAACCACAGAATAATTTACCCGTGTATGGCTGCGAGGCAGGCTGGTTAAGCGGTCTGGCAGGACTATAGACTCCCACCTCGGACCCCTCCCCTTTGACGTCACCAGTCAGTTTCGCGTTCAGAGCGGTGGAAAGCTGTTCGTCCTCCTGCTGCTCGGCGGACAGCGATTCTGCAGCGGCGTCAGGCTGCAGGGAGGCGGCTTGGCTTCGCTCCTTCACCCGGTCCTCCAGCTCCCGCAGCTCCTGGGTGAAGGCCTCGATGCTGATGCCCTGACCATTGGCGTCTCCGGGGAGCTGCTGGGGGTCGTCCGGCGCCTGTTCCAGCAGTTCTTCTATGAGCCGCTCCACGGATTGTTGCGACGGTTGGTTGGTTTCTGGAAGATCTGAGGATATGCTGTGCGGGCCTGAGTTGGTCAGCGGTTTGGTATCGGGGGCAGGAAACTGTAGAGACTTCATGTCGCTGCTGTTCCTGTTGCTGAAAATTGACTGGGGGACGGCGGCGTGACTGTGGGAGGAGTAAGAGATGGGAGATCCGTTCTGGTTGGCGTTCTCATCCAAGAACTGCTGCTCCCCTAAGTCTCTTTTGACTTTTTTCACTTCTAGTCCTCTATCCCGGCTGTCCGAACAACCGTCCGCCTGCGCGATTGTCCCGTTATACATGGGCTGGTAGCTCACAGTGATGGTGGACGTGGAAAGGTGCTGACTTGGGGAGGAGGTGGAGTGTGAAGCTGACAGAGCGGAGGCAGCAGACGAAGACGGGATGAGTGGCGGCACTGGTTTGGGAAGCAGTTCCTCCGTTTGAAGGGTGCGCTTCTTGGAGCGGGGCGTGAGACTGATGCAGTTGTTTTTGCCTATTGTGACGTCCCACTCACCGCTGTCCCGGTCCGAACTGCTCCACTCTGACCGCGCTGCCGCCACAACGGCAGCCCTCTGCTGGCCTGGAGGAGTGCCACCGCTTCCTCCGTGCTGGAAGGAGAAATGCTCCGGGAACATGGCCATGGAGGCGTTGGAGGTGGGGGGAGGCGGAGGGGCTGCGCTCGGGGAAGGGTTTTCTCCGTCGTAAGGCGCGGACCAATCACGGCAGGACCAGGCGCAATGCTCGATTCCCCGACGTGCGTCCTTGAGGTACTCCAGGTACCCCGCGTCCCACTCCAAACACTCCGTGAGGGTTTGCTGCTGGTGCATGGGACTGTCCGGGGACAGAGTGTGGGACCCGGATGGACTCGGGTGCAGCGGATCCACGGCGGGAAGGTTAGATGAACCTCCTCCTCCCGATCCGCCGCCGCCACTGCTGCTCTGCTGCCGCATGAAGAACGACAAGCGGGACGGGGTGCTGGGTCTGGGTGGAGCTTCAGTGCTTGGATTGTTCATGACTGCGGATGACACAGGAAACCCCAAAAACATTCACATCAATTGAATAATATTATCTTTACCCCAACTTGCCAAAATCTGGTGCTAGTGTTTAGGTGTCCAGGCTAATTTTTCTTTCTATTTTGTTCCTGATATTTCATGACATAAATTAGCCATTATCGGGAAATCTGCAGGTCAAACTTAAGACCTTTTTAACCCTTTACATCATGAATGAAATGCAAGACCTGCTTCATTGTAGAATGTTGCCAGAATTTGCCAAACGTTCTTGCACTTAGCTTCGCATAGGTTGTAAACAGAATGAGTAGGTGCCAAAGGCGAACGTCGTCAACGTGATGAAAAATCACGTTGTACCCATGATAGACACAAAAAGGCTAGCAAGATTAACAGCTCGATACCGGTAGCCTAATCCTCCTTGCGTTACAGAATACGACAAAGACGCCTGAGTGTGACTCAAACTTTTGCCTGACAGAAAAATCCAGCAAGAAAAAAAAAACTGTACAATATATTTAAAATATGAGTTTAAATAGTCCTGTCACAACAAAATATAAGACCTGTGATTAACGTATTTTTATTAAAATAATTTAATGCCTTAATTTTAGATGTACAAAATACTTTTTAAGACCTTTCAAGGATGTACAGACACCCGGCATTTGTGTATGAGCAAATACAGAATCTTAACCTTCAAACCAACCCTTACAGACCACTTCACTCTGTCAAGGTAACAACCACTTTATTAAAGCGCAATAATCCAGGTGAAACAGATCCAAATCCTTTTCCCCCAGATGGCTGTTGCTCACCTTTGCCCCAGAATGGATTGTCGTCGTCGCGATCGGTGGAGCTGGATGCGTTCAGCCGACAGCACTCCGGGATCAGTGACAGGAACTTGTTTGCCGATTTTCCATACATGTCCGTCTCCCTGATGGCACGACGCTGACTCAGCATCACATGGGTGCAGGGAAGGAGATACCTGGGAGAAAAACAGACACATGGAGTTTTGATAAGTTTATTGTTATGATTAGTTCTTCGTCTACCCACTGAAAATACACGGTGCCCCTTGTATACTTGACATATTTTTGTAGATTTAGCTCCGAACTGTGACGTAAAATAAAAAAGATACATAGTTTTCTGGAGTTTTTATCCATAAAAATCTGAAAATGTGACATGCATTTGTAGTTTCTCAAACTTCACTCTGACACAAATAAAAATCAAATTGAAATCAGTTCCTTTCCAAAGTCAACTAATTATTGAACAGTCCAAAAGTTGTTTTGTGAAGGCTTTACAAGTTTGTCAGATTAAGAAATAAACAGAACGATAAAACCAGAGGAACAAAGTACACAGGTCAGAAATAAAGTTGGTGAAAAGTTTCAAAGAAGTGGAAACTTCATTGGAGAATAAAGTTTCCACAACTTTATTGTGAATGCTTTTGCAAAGTGCTGTATGTATACTTCAGCAACTCTATTTCTTGTTCTTATAAAAATCTGAATATATATATATATTTATCTGATTATAACCACACTTTCCAAGGGCCTTTGAACCATTTTATTTATGAAAACACATGCTGGTTACGGACAAGAGAAAGATCTTCTGTAAGGAAACATTTCTTCACTGAACTGAATAATTTCTGCTCTGCGTATAATTTGTTGAATCTTCATTCCGTTTCAAGCTGCAGACGACGCACTGACGTTAGCATGTGACTTGCACCTGCCGATTTGGTGGAAGATTAAAGGGCTAGTTTCCTACTTTTTCAAGAAATCTCAACTGCTTTTTATCATTTGAAGTTCTAAATTTATGTTACTGACAGCAGGTTTTAGTAAAACATATTTCTTATGTATGGAGCTTTAACTCTTTCATTAGACGACACTAAAGAGTTCTCTGCTAGAAAAGCACAATACCGAGAGGAGTTGAGCCTGGACTGAATTTTTGAGAAATCGTTTCTTTCATCTTTCTTTCCATCTGTGATTTCTGAATAATAAAAAGTTTTCTCCTCGTCTATAAGAGAATTCACCCACAGTATCAACGCTCAGAAAAACTCTGGAAATACCTGAGAACAAGCTGTAGCATGATGTCCTCACAATGCAGGGACAGGAGCGTCCTGAACAGACTCAATGAGACCATGCAGAGCTGCAACGATGAAGAAACTGATGAGCAGTCACACACAGGAGATCCATTTGTTTTTGTCTTACTGTATTACAGCAGAGAAGTTTGAAAAAATTATAACTGAAAACCTTAAAATAAAGTTAGTAATGTATCCAACTTTGGCCTCTGAAGGCACCAGAGGTGCTTTAGCTTCTAAATAGATAACTCAGGTGCTCATGCAGGATGATGAAATCACGTCCCATTAATATTTTCCCAAAGAGCCCATTGATCTAAATATTTATTTTCTAGCCCAGAATCCATGAGTCGGTGTGAGCATTTCAGCCGAGATACATTTCTGAACATCCAACAACAACCTACAAAAGTAGGTTGTTGCAGCAGACACGAAGAGATTAAGTTTTCCTTTTTTCTTGTTGCTCTCATAGCCCAGAAGCTTCGCTTGTCTGCTGTCAGATTTTGCCCTCAGCCCACTCAGCGCCCACTCAACCGTGTTCATTTTAAAGCCTCGAGGCTCTTTCATAAACAGATGCACATGTATACAGACCCTTGAATTGCTGCTTATGCGCGTGAGCAGCGTGTCCAGGATGGTGTCATTGTCATGGCGATGCAGCAGGATGAAGCGCAGGAAGGTTTTGAGGAGCGATGTTTCCGTTATGCTGCGCAAGAACAGATCCAGGTAGGCGGTGCTGGCGATCATCTCGTCCACCGACGACTGCGGACATACACACACGCGCGCAAAAACAGTTTAAAGACGAACAATGTGACAAATCTTCCCGCTGAGGAGAATTTAGCAGAGGACAGTTTCTTCTGTGTAAAAAAATTACTGATTCATCCTCTGACTCATCGACAGAAATCGAAGAAAATTAAGTTCTAAACCTCCATGTTTTTTGCCAGTTCTTGATTTTTATTAGAACATCAGAGAGTCGCGAAACAAAGTGGAAAGAATGTGGATTTCATCGATTCTAAATGTTCTGAAATCCAGCAGGCAGACTTTAGAACATTACACAAAACAATTTCTAACTGAACTCTACTTCTAAACAAAGTTCAGGTTCCAACCTTGTGCAGGGCGGGGCCCATGACGGGGACGAGGAAGCCGTTGTGGAGGTAGTCCAGGAGCTGAGAGCGGACCAGGGGGTGTGCCACCTGCACCACGGCGTTGCAGAACTCCAAGGAGTTCATAAAGAGCACGAGGGACGACACGCCCATCCAGTCCTCCCGCCGCAGCGAATGCCAGTCGTCTCCGCGGACCTCGATCTTCCTGGGCAGAGAGGAGTAGAGGGCGCTGAGCCCCGTCGCCAACACCTGCAGGACCGCAGAGACTCAGGTTGATAATCGATTACGAATTAGCTTGAACTGAAGAAACTTGAAAACCTCTGGTTACTAAACTATTTGTAAACCAAAATAATACAAACAATTACTCAAAATATTTTGAAATAATGCTTAATGTTACATAAAATTAATATCACTTGTAGGGATATTCAGGTGCATTTCGAAGTACTGAACTGAGGACCTGGTCACTGCGTTTTCAGAGTTAATAAGAGTCACAATCTCTCATTAACTCAATTTATAATTACTGTCCTTTTATGTCTGCCAACAAAGGGCCTGCGATTTGCTCAGGCAATTTTTAAAAACCATCAGCTACTTTGATCTGTACAGTTTGCCTTTTTGTTCACCTATCCCACTGAAGTTGATGCAAAAAAAAAAGAAAAACTGTATTAGCTGCGGCAACTCCAGGTCAAATCGTCTGCAAACGGCTGTAGCTAACTCGTGTTGAAAAGTGTGTTGCTCATAATTAAGTTGTGATTTACTTGGATTTTACTTAATTACTTCTTCCCACAGGGTCAGGTTGGTTTGGGTGACTTTCTGTTAACATTTTTTTTTATTGAAGTGTCAAAACAAAAGTAAAAACAGAACAAATTTGCAAGCAGAAAAAGCCTCTCTCAGCACTTAGGTTGAACCACAGTACTAATGCAGGACATGTGATTTCAGTGAACTGTGAAGATAATGAATTTTAATCACATATCTCAATTTTACTTATTTATTGGACTCATACTTTCTGAAATTAAATCAGATCAAAATATGGGGAGAAATAATCCTCTGTTTAAACAAAATAATTAAAGCCATTTGTATTTATATGTCCTAGGTCAGATCATAGGGTGTGTAAATGTTTATTTTATTTTTGAACACGCACCAAGCAGTCTACATCCTGTATACAACAGCAAAGATGCATATTCGTGTCTTAAAGTAGGTCTTGACTGAGTAAAAGTGACATAACATGCAATATAAATTCTATATTGCATCATAAATGTTGAGTGACAACTTGTAAAACATAAATGTTAAATCTGTGTACGAACACTTCATGCTTCTGGATCAGTTAATATTTTTAAACCAATTAAATTTTAATACTCAAAACATAATGTAAGAGAAATACAAACAATCAGTATCTATAAACATGTCTTCTAGACATCACGAAAAAACGATGTCTAGAAGAGGAGAAAAGGCCAGTTATGGGTGCAGAGGAGAGGTGCTGCAATGACTCAGTAACAGATATCTCCTTTGAAAATGTCATGCAAAGCTGGAAGTAATGGGTTAGCACGCAGAGACATAAAAAAAAACAGCCTGAGTCAGGCGCTGGGTCCTCCATGTTTCCTCCACTGGACCTTTTTTCAGAAGTAAGTGGGTCATCTTTTAACTGCTGGAAGGACAGTGAGCAGAAGCAGCCGACGTGCACAGAAAGAGTCAAAAGATGGAAGTAGTCACCAATCCTCTCAATCGCACATAAAAGCACCACACTGTTTTGATTCTACAGAAAGGTTTATCTCACAGTGGCTTACCAAATGCCCTGAAATGGAAACATGCAAAATCTCACTGGAAAAAAAGAAATCATTAAGTCTTTAGCAACTCTTTATTCTCATCTGGTGGCAGCTAAAGGGAATTGCAAGAAGATGTGAAGATTTTTTGTTAGCTGATTTTTAAAAAAAAGTAAATATTTTAATAATATATCAACTGAATCTGCCTTTTTTTAATGGTAAACTCCAAAATAGTGACATCTCCTAAAGTGATTTCTTATCCAAAAACACTAGAAAAACTGAAGAGTTCCCTGAAAAAGACTGACAAAAATCAAACAAAAATACAATAAACCCACATGCATGTCATAAGGATCCCTTTTATGATATATTCCTCCTAACATGCAAGCGTTTCCTTGAGTGTAGAGACTATTTTGTGAGATGGTCACAGGAAACTACGTGATAGGATATAGATAAGGGTGGCTGATCTGTCAGAGTGCATAGTCATCTTCTTCTGCAGCCATTATCACGCACCATCACTAATGCATTAGAGTTCCAGAGCCCACATCCTCTTTCTGAAGAGCGAGAGTCGGACAGCAAGCAAGGGTCCCGCTTTTTGAGCTGTACTCAGCTGCTATATTAATAAGAGGAGGTCAGTTTCTCTATATATCACTTTGACGCAAGAAGTCAAAATGGCCCTTGGATCTGTGTCTATCAGGATGACGCTGTATTACATAGCAAAACCAAAAAAGATATTGCCAGTCAGTTTGAAATCATCCATAAAATTACAAACATCCTCCATATAAGAATTTTGATATCAAGCTTTAATCTTCCTAAATGTTTTGTTTTGTTTTTTTGAAACACTCAAACAAAAACCAATGATGGTGAGATTTACCGGGCAGAAATAGGAGTTTTCGGCGATGTATCTCGCCACTGCCTGGTGACTGGCCGAGGCCGCCATCACCAGCAGCAGTGCGTCTCGGGCCTGCTGGCCAATGGCTCCGTCCCGGTGGATGAACGGCGCGAGGAGAGAGAAGATCAGCAGGTTGGTGGAGCCCTGTTGGACCGGCGCAGCCTGGAACAGCATCTCCAGGACCACCGGCTGCCGGGCCATGGACACGCAAACCTGAAGTGGATTCAAAACAGTAAAAAAAATATTAAAAAACAAAGGTTTCAATGAAGTTCAAAGCAAGCATTTAACAAGAATGAAATATTATAGATGACCAATTATGCTTCTTTGGGGACGTTAATATCGGTCTATGGGTTACTTACACATGATTACAATTTTTAGAAAAAATCATTCTTGGGTTGTGACATTTCAGTCTGCATCTCCTTTCAGAAGATGTTTTAGGGTTCTTGTCACTTTAAACAGACATAAGCCACGCCTCTCAACTCAATGTTTACACTCGCAGGTGAAAATAGCTGCGAACACATGTGAAATTATACAACTCAACAGCTTTGAAAAGCATCAGTAGAGCCTCCTGCAGCAAGAGGTTTCTGGACGGTAAGTCAACAGCAAAGCTCTTGTATTTTCTAGCAGCTGTTGTACGCCACATACAGCTGTAAAACCAGCCGACGACACATGCTGGAGCTCTGCTTGGGTTGCTCGGTGATGAGTTGGGCTTTGTTGAGTGAGGGACAGAGCCGGCTGATTTGTGACAATACATTCAGGAGGGTTTTTGAAAAGGCTCATTTTCCAGATGCCCAAAAAAAACTTATTGCCAAAAAACAGCTGTGTGTGTGTTTTTTAAGCACTTGATCTATTTTTAGAAGCTGCAGAAACCCAAACTGAGGTAAAACACTTTAATTTGAACAACCAAAAAAACTCAAACACAGTTATGAAGTATCCCAACGATTTATTTCTTTGTGTGTACCTGATTAAGCAGCAGTACTAGGCTGTTCTCCAAGGCCGGGGGACAGCCGAGTTCTGGGTCGGCGCATGCTCCCAGCAGCCTCAGCAGGGGGTGGAGAACAGCCGTGTGCTGCAGCAGAGGCTGCTGGGACTGGCCGATGAGCATCTCGAACAGTTTGAGCAGGGCCCCCTGGCTGTCCGGGTCCAGGCCGCGCCAGAGGTGCCATTGAACCAGGCGCTCCAGGATGTTCTCCGTGACGACCAGCTCAAGGATGGGGCCCATGAGCGTCACGCAAGAGCCGCCCTCTGAGCTCTCGGCGGGACGCTCTTCCGCCAGCAGACACAACATCTGGTCGGTGTTGTTTCGCACCGCAGTCAGGTCATCGCTGGAGGATGACGTTTCTCGCTGATCCAAAACCCAAGAGACCTGAAGAAGAAAAAAAAAAATTACGTTACAAGGATGATATCCTTATAAAGCTCTTTGTATCTTTAAAATTCTTTTTTTAAGACATACCAGCTCTTGGATTACTCCAAGTTCAAAAATCACATAAATATGCAACTACAAAACATGTAACATGAAGAAATTTGCAAAATGTGGAAGTATTTTCACTAGTCTGTATGTTTAGACTCAGTCCAGTACACTTAAACTGAGTGAATAGCTTTAATGTGGGCAAAAATCAAGGTAAAGAACAAGATTATTATTAAACTGAGAAGTTGACTGCCGAACAGTTAGGCCTTTCAGTTTCTGAAGATAGAAGGAAATGGGACAGACACACCAACAAAACCAAGGACAGCTGCAGTCAAGGCCAAACTGAACCACCGAATAATAAGGTGAATTGCTGCCTTCAACACATTTCCTCCGACTCGAATGCAACTCATATCCCATTAGAGCTTAATGTTGGTCCTTAATTCTGTCCCAAAGGACCCACAGTCTGCCATATTTTATATGAATCTCTGCTCCAGCACAAATGACCGTATTGACTCCTTAGGATGGTGTCAGGTGCAACAAAAGTCTGTTAATCACCTATTAAAACATCCAGGACATGGGGTTAATGACCGGGATTGAGAATCTCTGGATTGGAGAACACAGTCAGCATTTTAAAATGAAAGTCTTTTGATCAGGATTTTGATACTAAAGTCCTTTCAGTGAGCTAAAAAGAACTGGTATCAACATATACTAAGGTTTTTAAATGTTCTAGTTAATATCCTAAAAGTTTGAGGCTGTGTTTACTTGCGAGTGCTGTCAGGAAGCTACTGGTATTTTTGGATGGTAATGGATTACATTAGTAATACATATTATTAGATGTATTTAACAGCAGTCTGACACCGTTACTCTAAGATAGACAATAAAGCAACTTTTGAAGTGTGAAATATAACAAGACGTTTCACAACTTTATCACAAACAAGTGTGATGTGCAGTCACCATGAGTCGACACAATGACCAGGGCTTGGTTAGCCAACACAATGAGTCGGAACAACTGCGCCAGTGGTGAAGCTGCACATGTGCAGAAACCGAGATGAGTTAACACACAACCAGCAAGCAAACACACAAAACAGGGCAGATGTTCGCCCACACAACCAACATCTACTTATTGTCTTCTCGACATAACCGCTGCTCACGTCATGTCATGTCGGAGGGAGAAGAGATTACGTTTAGAAATTTGCAACAACAGCACCACAGCCACTTCTTCTGGAAATAATTTTTTTCTTGAATAAAAAAAGCATCCTGTTGAGGGTCCAGTTGAAAGAGCAAACATCCAACAAAATAGTCTAATGCTGCCTCAAAGGCATTTAGCCCATTAGGAAGAGGCAGCGCTGTGGAAGCCGTAACGCTTTTTACCCAGGGACTGAACATGAGCCAGTTTGGCTCCTTATGTTAGCACTAGCCATCTAAAGTGTTAAAATTGTTCAAATCTACACTTCCTTATTGGTTAGCTCCATGAAAGCACCGACAGACTGTAAAATGAGCTATACAAATAGACCAACAGTGTCAGTAGCTAGAGGTATGAGCAAACACGCACTCTAATTAATTAAACGGATAATATAAGCTTGTTATAGTTGTTGCTCTATAAATACAATAGCAGAGTGGCAACATCTAACTGTGAGCAACAGGGAATTGAAAACAAGAACTAAATTCAGTGTCTGTGTTGCCCTGGGATTAGTGTTTGTACTCAAGATTATCATACAGTGACAACATCACACTGGCCTATGCCTAAGCAAACTAATGGTGGAACTTAGCAAGTGCTAACTAAGTTCCACCATAAATTACATCTAGTTAATTGCAGCATCTGTAATTAATTGATCAAATTAAATCGTTAAAGTCCTACTCATTTAAATAAGAGTTTATTGAATTTTATTTAAACAAGCAAATCCTTGAAAATGTACAATACGTTTTTGTAAACATTTTATTTGGACTTCATTGTTTTATTATCTATTTTCAAACCTACTACTTCTGATGTGACCCAGATCATTAGTAATAAAAACATTTTTTCCCCAATTAGGTAGATTTAGCGCATAAATTAGCTGAGTAACAACCATGGCTGCAACCATCAATAACAGAAAGCCAATCTTTTCTTTTCACAAAGTATATTCCCCTAATTAGGTTCGATCTGGGTTCATTTTTGACTTGTATCTCAAAAACGACTTCCACCAAAGTAAATAAACAGAACTGTGAGTGTATGGCGTCACAAAGCAAGCAGCGTCTTCAGCGCACCTGTCTCCAGTGGTTCTCAAACACCATCAGGCAGGTCTCCGGGTCGGCAGTGCACGGGCTGGAGGGGGCGGCGGAGGCGACGGCGCTGCGGCCGGACCGTGGGTTCAACCTGCTAAGCCAGCTCATTCCGAACCCAGCGGGAGGCAGGTGAAAGGTCTCACAGACTCAAACACCAGGGAGGGAAGGGGGGGAAACAAAACAAAACAAAACAACAAAACAAAAAAAAGTGAAAAGGGAACTTCTGAGTCCAGACACAAAAGCGCCCAGGACAGAAAGCTCAAGAGCTCAGGGGGGGAACTAAAGGAGAAGATATGGGTGAAAATAAAGAAAAAAAGAAGGGAAGAGGGAAGAGGGACGGGGAAGGTAGGGGATCCCAATCAGAGAAAAAGGACGATGCTTGAACGAGCTGTCACTGCCGATCAGCCGACTCCAAAGGGAAGGGTGTTGCTGATTTAGAAACGTTGCTTTCTTGTCCTTCCTGTGGACGCTGTCATCCAGTCTGAAGCCAACACCACTCCATAGCCGGTCAGGACGGGTACACCTCTCTGTGAAGACAAACAGATAAACGACTCCTTACTTTAAATCTACAGCTTGTCTCTACCACAAATTGATGATGAACATAAAAACCACCATAACGAGGGTAATTAACAATTTGTTCTTAACTACAACTGAAAATTCTATCTTTGCACACATTGCTGCATTACATATCTGCAAAAACTGGAACAAAGGATGTCAACAGAATAAGATTTAGTCCATCGCAAATTAATTTCTCTGCAAAAAAACCTAAGAAAATAAATGCCCTAATATCTATATTGTCAGATCTCTTGCAAGCCGCCTATTAGAAGGAAAAGAAAAAAACTATTCAAGGATGCAGAAAAATTACTTGTGCCAAAGATCGCCAGTTTTTTTCCCTCCCCAACAAATATAAGTAAGCCTCTGCAGTATGCCGTTACCAGGGAAACTGTTTTCTAGTAAAGAAAACTCCTGTTTACTGTGGAAACTGGGAGGAGAAGCAAGCAAATAAACAAGAGTTCATGCTTTCAGCGTCAAACTCGTTCATATTGTTGCATCCTTTCTTTTCACAAGCTTACAACTAAAAAGAAAATGTGATATATATATATAAAATGTGATATATATTCCACAACTTTACATTTAATAATCAATACATGTTAAGTGTAAAAGGCAAATCTATAACGTTGGATACCAAATTTGTGTTGTATTTTCAAAGTTTAGTTGTTCAAAGAGTAACAAGTTTAACTATAAATCAAAAGCAAGTAGAACTAAAAAAAGCAGCGATTTCCAGATATAAGAAAGTCAGTTTAGTTCATACAAATTTAACCACAATCTTCCTATCAGTGACACATTAACTGGAAACTTGCTGAACAGAAAATGTAAGCTCTAGCACTTACAATCCCTCCCTCGATAAATAGTCAAAATGACAAAGTCCTTCCCACAAATTTTGCACTTTTCTGGAAAAAGATGACACTTTTACATGCACTTTTTACAAGAAGCTACTGATGTGACTTGGTGTAGATTTGTTATCACCGCTATCAACTTGTGAAGCATTTCCCTTTGCAACTATATATAAAAAGTGTTCATTTCAAAGTGAGCAGAAAAAACATAACAGGCTATAGTTCTCGTCAAGCCGTCGTTTCTGTCTATAACTCATCAGTCATGCGCATACCGGCAGCTCAGACATCTGTGTGAACAAGAGAAAATGAAGCAAAAGATGAACACAGATGTTGGGAAAAAGAAAAAAGGAAGACAGAAGTGGAAGAAAAATGATGCAGGATTGTAATTTTTTGAAACAAAGATTGACCATTCTTTCATTCAATTTGACTGCTCAGGCTCAGTCAGAGTATCAAAAAGACATTTAGATTTTTTTTTTTAAAGTGCAAGATAAATATTGAACTGGTTTTAGTTATGGACTTTGACTAGTCCATTCTAACATATGAATACGCACCGATCTAAATTATTGTAATAAGCTCTGGCTCCATGTTTAAGATTACTGTTGCCCCAACTCGACTTCAGTCCTTGTAATTGTTTTGCTGCTGTTTACCTTAGGGGTTAAACGACTTCATATTTTTTAAGTTCGACTACAACATGATAAAAGGAGAGTCGACGTCGACTAGTCACAGTGACGTCAAGGCGATGTAAGCACAAAGCGCTTCACAGCAACTTAAGAGGCTTTATCAGCTACGTTCACGGCAAATATTGATTTAAAAACCTTCTTTTACTAAGTCTATTAAGCAGAATTAAAAGAACAAGAAACAGATTATTGTCCCGGACTTCTTCGTGAGCAGAGGAGAAAAGTCCACAAAGTTGCACCGAGTCGGGTCTGACTCCCTTCACTCCCCCAAACAGACTGATACTGATGATCGATGGATAGTTGCACATTTAGTAGTCAAATATCACACTGACCACAATGGTGCTTCTGGAACATCACAAACCAAACTTACATGAACATTTGGTTGCACTTGACTTTATGCTGGAATATCATCGTAAAAGGGGCAAAACACAAACAAGTTTAACATTTTTCATTAGTTCAAACTTGTGAAAATCATGTCCTTTGGCTTCACAATTATGCATGATGCTGTGCTGGACTATCACAAAAAAAAACACTGAAGTTTGTGGCTGTAACGTGACATTTTAAAAAGTTGAAGAGGACTGAATATACTAAAAAAAAACATTCTTACTCCATCAAATTGTACATTTAGGAACCCATTTTACTTGTGTTTGAACAAAAAGATCCCTTATAGGAAACCGCCCTAATGAGTCAGTAAGATAATATGCTTGGTGTTTCAATAAGAAATGCCATCATTACAAAGATTTGTAACATGCTCCTCATTTCCACATGACATGGATAAATGACTCATGATTTCCACTTGGGCTCAGACACACACACAAAAAAAGAAAACCTCCATCCAGAGTTTTCTTTATTTTCTCTCAAAAGCTACACACAAGCGGTTCTGAAAGGAAGCCAGGTCACTGTTTACCCTTTTGGTTTTCCGTTTGATGATTTACCACTCCTTATTTTAATAAGGTGAGCGTGTGAGTTCGTACAGAGACCTAAGGATATGAATGGAGGAAAAACACACACACACAAAAAAACACAGTTTGACTAAAATTTGTCCTCCATATTTTTGTAAATTCAGTCAGAAAACCTGAAGAACTTTGAACAAAAATAGCCTGAGCTCGACATGCAGATTTCAGCACTGCAGCACACACGGAAATTTAAAGTGTCTTTAAATCTCAGGTCACACGGCATCATAACAGCACTCATAAAACGAGTTCAAAGTGCAACTGCAGATACCGCTGAAGGGAGGCGGCGTTTCTAAAGACCTGAGCCAAATATCAGTGATCAAGCTCACCTTTTAGCCTGTCAAACTCTTAAGACAGGCTAAAAGTGGAGCAAGAAGTGTTGTTTGTTTTTCCAGAGTTGCTGTGATTTCACACAGTGGTCAAACTGAAACAGGCTCCAGTTTAACCAGTAACCTTCAGGGTTTTTTCACATCTGGTTGTCTGGTAGACTTGGTTCAATTGAGAACCAAAAGTTCAACATGTGTTGGATGTTCAGATGGTGCGGTTCGCTTTCACACTGCACTGTATCAGATGAGCCAAACTAATTGAAAACCCAGTTCACACCCTCGCCCGTGGTGGCGCTGCACCAAGAACCACTGAAGGAAGCAACATGAAAACCTCTGAAAAAGAGACTGAGCGCAACTTCCTTCTTCACCAAATGTAAACAAAAACTTGAGTGTCATCAGTAGCTGTTGTAGGATTTCTCTTTTGTCTTTGGTAAAAGACCATGATACACGATATAATCGTCACCAACATTGGCATCGTTCGATATCATATAACATGATGGTATTGGTCCAATAAATAAAACTGAGCCAACAAAAATATTTATTTTGATGCCTTTGTAATTGAAGAAAGTTGGTCATGTGTTGCAGTGCAGGATCGTGGGGAGAACCAGTGATGAAGTCAGCGTTGTATTGCTTTCTGTCAAGGTTTCGAAAGGGTAGTGAAATGTAATAATATCGGTAAATATCGGTTATTGGCCATGAGAGATATATTAGTATCGATTATTGACACTGGGCCAAATTTTCATATGCGCATCCCTATTTTGTACCGCTAATCTCTACCAGTCTTCACAGATAGCCTCAGAGTCTGTTGTGACTGAAAAGATACCAACAGATACCATTTCAATTAATTTAACCATTTAGGAGGAACATTTTATTTGTTAACAAGTTTATCTAAATTGCAGTTTAGCACATATGGCAGCTGACTGTACCAACACACTTCCTCCAAAATGATCCAAAAACAAAATTTGACAGCTGCTTTTAACGTTGCCTTACAAACAACAACAAAAAATACGCCATCGCAGTATTGGTGTGCGAAAGTGAAGCTTGGATGCCAACCGCTGTAGAGAAAGACGGCAGACAGGAAAATGTTGGGTAAATGTTGCAATCAATACCATCACTATATCTAATCAGAGGCAAAAGGCAGACGCGCATCATCGGCCTGCTATAGACATTCAACAGTACAGCCGTGAGAAATACTTTCTACACATTTTCAGTTCCTCAAAGGGTGACATGTGCAAACATTGTTATCTAAACATCAGATAAGAATTTTTTAAAAAGTGGCCAAATAAACCACTAGAGGTAAACCTATACATGCATGTACAGATAAGATCTTCTCAACAGTGTTTGCAATTTCATGCACTATTTATCTGTCAAGACTGAATTATACGTCAGCTAGGACTACAACAATCACACTTTTATGAGCAAGGCAGGTCTCATACTTGACGGAGACCAAAAGCATAAAAGGAGTAATACTAGGCAGATTTTTGGGCAGAGACTGAGAAGTCTCAGAAAATGAATTCTTTACTTTCTTTTTACAGTGGTTGTATATATTTTTATGAGAGACATAAAAACCCAAGTAAAGTCCGCTTCACTCTGATTCACCGTGGGTTTTATCAGGTGAGCTGACAGACTGTAGAACGGTTTACCGTTTACAGATAACAAGCAGAGGAATTAAACCGAGGAGGCAGGAGTTCAAAGGTCGAATCTTTCCTAATGCTTTTACATCCTATGTTCGTTTCAGTCACTGCCTTTAACAGAAACCGAACGCCGCCTTTCTGATTAACACTTTCATTTTGGTATCAATTTTATTTTAGGCTCGCCGTTCTGCATTTGGGTTTAACCAGCCCGCAGAGGCGTCTCACCGGGCGACGACGGAAAACAACAATTGATGCAATTCAATTTCCAAACGATGTCGCGACCTAGTTTACACTGTAAAAAGTCTACTTATTCCATCCCAAAAAGCCCCGTGTTGAACATACCCGACCGACAAGCATAAATTAAGAGAGCAACACCAAGAATGCGCACCTTGCCTCGGCAGCTGTTGAAGAGGAGCAGGTTTCCTCGGGTAGTTTAGCCGCTAACGCCTAGCAGCTAACAGCTAGGCGTTAGCTGTTGATGAATTCCACAATGTCAGGGCAACGAACGGCTGACGGACACAAACGCAGCGCAGAGACGACCGGCGAGCTGCTCCACACCGACCCGGCGACGCTAACGGATTAACCACTCCTTCCCCGGGGCAGCTGTGCATCCTGTTAGAGGCAGATAAACATCCCATTTGATGATTTCTCAAACACTCTCCCCTCTCCCGCGGCCATCTTACTTTAGCTCCTCCCACGCGGCTTCACTGAGTCACAGCGACGCTGCTCACAGCTGCATGGTATGGAGGGCGTGGAGGGGCAAAAATCCCAGCGGGTTCCGACAAATGTACACCATGTACTAACATTTGTGACATTATGGAGGTGCAATGCTGCCACTCTAGGAAAAGAAAACTGATCATTTTGTAGTGTGGACATACAGGAAGCAAGGGTTGCTACTTCCAAACACAGCAATTTACGGTGTGTCTGGTGTTGCTGCAGTTCAGCTTTAACATAAACTTGATCTAAATGCAGTTTGGTCAGGATAAAGTTATTAATCATGAACTCAGTTCAGATGACCAGCGTGAATTTGTTTTGGTTCATTAATTTTTTTATTTTTTGTCCAAATAACGTTTGTTTATGCCAACTCACAAATTAGCATCCCTTTCATTCTCTCCTTTGATCCTTTTTTGCGTAAATTGTATTTTATAATGGCTAGGTTTCCAAAAACACTGAACTTATTGGTACACTTTAATTTCTTGTGCAGATCTGATATTTTGAAAAAAAAAAAAGCAAGTAAATGAAAATATCATGTTCACAATATGAAATGCGTGTTATTAGCGTCCATGAATTTTTCATACCTAAACATAAAAAAAACTATGTTTGTCTTTTGCTCTGGTGGCAGCTTTTGCTTCCATATTTGTTTGGAAGCAAACAAATACGGTTCTTTTGGGGGGTTTTGGTTTTGTTCTGTTTTTTAACAAAAGAAGCAAATGAGCAACATCATGGGCACTAGATTGACAAACATTTCCTCTCTGAAAAACGTTTTTCTCAGCAGAACCTATTTGTAGTTTGGGCACACCCTCTTTTAAGCACAATTTACATACCTGTAATTTTTCATAAGTGGAGGCTTTCCAACTCTGTCTGAAGCAGCTGGTATTTCCATCCATCCCAGACTTTCAGTAGTGAATCCTGCCACACTCCTTGGAAATGATATTCAAGATGTCAGCAGCTATATTTGCATACAGTTAACCTGACTAAGATTACTGGTAGTCATGCAAAACTAAAAAGAAGATCGTTTTGCATGACTGCATGGTATTTTACTTTCCTTAAACATCTAAAATTAAAGCTCAGAGAAAGAAATTGTGAGCTACATTTTCTTCATTTAAGATCAGCCAGGATTAGAGGCATAATTTATCTTTGCTAAGTGCCAGAATAATCAAGGAGAGAGTTTTTCCGATTTAGTTTTAGTTTCCTTCAGACATTCATATGCATTTCACTATAGTTCTTTGTAGAACTGCATTTAAAACGTGTGATTTGGGTCAAACATTTTAGGCATCTGTGTTGATCCACAACACCTGCCAGACATTTTTTTGCTCAGACACCACTTTTCAACTCTAATGATTTTTTTTGTTTGTTTGTTTTTAATTAGACTAAAATTGGGGCTTTGTGACGATTACTGCAAAACACTGAGTTTGTTGATTTCTCACTGGAATTAGGGCCATTATTAATTTGGAGGACTCATTTTCGACCAGTCTCTGGCATCATTGCTCATGGCTTGACATGTTGCTTCAGGATTTCTATGAGCCTTCATAGATTTCCCAGGTTGTGAAGTGCACCAACTCCTCCTGTGGCACAGTACGTTGCTGACTCCCGTTACTTCACAATTCGGTTAGTGCTCTTTTGTTTTAACCCTCTCCAGGTAGATGTTGCAGATTTGCAACAGCTAAATGCTACTTTGCTAGTCTTTGCAAGTAATTTGAGCCTGAGAGGGTTAAATTTCGCCCTTTTCCTCTAATGTCAGAATGCTTGTTGTGGTCAAACCATTCAACTCTAGTTTAATCTTGTAACCAGCTATGAAGGTCTTTTTTTTTTTTGTATGCATTTGCAAAGTGTTATCTGTGGTGTTTATGTTGCTTTTAGAGTAATGGTTTCTTAGTGACTGAGTGGTATTTCAGCCCATGTGGACAGGACTTGTTTTACTGATGCACCTTCAGCCAAGACCTCCACAAGGTTTGCTTTTTCTTTCTTTTCCTCTTTTTGATTATTTTGCACATTAGAGTGCAAGTAGACGGCTTAGATGAAGCAAGTCATAAAAAAATTGCCTAGTTTCCTCGTTGATATTTTGTTGGACGTTTTGGCTTGACTTTAAGAACCCCTTGTATCTATATTTTTTTTACATCAGCCGTCTATGAGTGATTGTTCAGATATTTTGAACTGCTACTTCCATAAAACCTCTTCTAATTATCAAAAAAATCAAATTTTCTTCACCAACACGGCAGTTCAAAGTGCTTTACATCATAAAACCACAAAAATTACAAATAAAATACCAATTTCCGTTTGTGAAACTTTCCGACGTTGATTGACCCGCTCTCACCCCAATTGCCTCGTTTTAAATTTTGTCCGATGTATGGATCGGGCATAATTATGACCAACTCCTCTAGCTCTTGTTTCTTAGACGCATACAAAATGTTTCTTGATGAAGAAATGATCCGTGTTATGCCCTTTCACCTGCCAGTAGTAGCTCCTGATGAGTATATTTTGGGGCATGTAGGTTTACCTCTATGCCACACTCGGTGTCTTTGGTGCTGAGAGAGAAGAGACAAAGACCCACCTGGCTTTCTATTCTATGGGGAGGAAAGAATTCCCTGAGTACCTATGACATCTGTTGTTGTTTCCTGCCATAGAGACGGGCATCGCTAGGCCCTGCGCAGGCAGTTTGTTATCAGGTCAGCAGTAAACATTTCTGCCGGATGCAAAGCGTCCACCTCTGAGCACCTGAGAAACACCTATGTTTGAAGCGAAAGTAGTAAGAAGCTAGTTCCGATAATGGACAATTTAGGTAACGTCAGCGTCAGGACGAACCGGTGGCGTTCGCTGCTCAGGTGGCATCACGGACAAAAAATGACTGAGGACACCGAAGATGGAGGCAAGGATGGAGAGAAAAAGAAGCCCTTTTGGGGCATGAGATTTAACTTCAAGTGAGTAATTGGTAATATGACTTGACATGAAAAAAAAATATTTGGCTCTTACTTAAAGTTTGTCATTATTTTAGTGTATATTCAGGTTTCATCTGTTTTGAATGAATGAAGTCTACTGAAATGTTTACACAATATCTACTGTTCTGAAAGGCATTTTGATGATGAATCATGTTCTATAAATATAATTATCTTGGGTGCAGCATAAACTCCTGCAATTAGTCAGTTAGAAATAAACTGTGTTGATACTCTTGAGTGGCTATGGCAGATTTTTTATATCAATAACACTGTAGAGGGATCATTATTTAAATTAGACAGATGTTATATATATATATATATATATATATATATATATATATATATATATATATATATATATATATATCTATATATATATATATATATATATATATAGATATAGATATATATATATATCTATATATATATATAGATATATATATATATATATATATATATATATATATATATATATATATATATATATCTATATATATATATATATATATATATATATATATATATATATATATATATATATATATATTTACAAATCTCTCAGAAATCATTGGCTTTGCTATACATTTGGGTTTTTCAGTTTTCTTGACTGTTTGTACATTTTTTCCCATCATTCTATTTCACTGTATGCAGAAAACCGAAACAAAGACGTACTTGTGTGAAGCAATCCATAATCCAAACTTCCTGTTTGGATTATGGATTGAAATGATCACAGATAATCTCTCACCCAAGTGGATTAGGTGACTTTTTAAAGCCAGTAGTTACATTCGATTGTAATTATGAGTATTAGAACAAAAGGTGTTGAATATAAAATGCAAGCCACGCTTTTTAAAACTTTGCCTCTAAAGTAGTTCAGCACTTGTAATCGTTTCCTCCAACAATATCACTTTGTGTCGGTTCGTCTCGTGCAATTCTGAAAGAATGCGTTCCTCTTTGCAGTTGTGATGTGGAAAATGTCAGAAGGCAGGATTCTTTTTGCAATTGTACACTTCGAGTCATGGATGTGGAGCCGTGTAAGTCTTTCTGTCTGTTTCTTTCTTCCACTTCACGATCCTCTCAGCTGGAGAGAGTGGGCCATCGATCCTGCAAATCACTTCTATTATGTCTGGTTGCAAGTGATGATCGTGCCAATTGTTTACAACTGGGTAATCATCATTTTAAGGTAAAATGACAGCAGCATCATGTATTCACTACGGTATAACTTGTAATGAACAGACGTCCTATTAGACAAAATACTGTTGTTTCTGTTTCATCAGGACCTGCTTCACAGCGATCGGTCTGAGCTATCTTCCTGTGTGGCTCACGCTGGACTATGTGTCAGACCTCATGTATGCTGCTGATATGACTGTCACTCTGCATACTGGTAAATACAATTGCTCTGATTTGACTTCAACTCTTGGTCTCTAAAAACCAAACATAAAAACAGACTTTAAATGCATCCAGGCACTCCAAACAAGCACAATGTAATTTAGTTTTACGTTTGTTGCCATAGACGCTATATCAGTATTTCTTTACCGTTATCAAAAGATAAATGTTATCTTTTCATAAACATACAGGCTATTCTCGGCCAGTTATTTTTCAGAGCTTCCTTTTGAGCGTCGAATTGATAGTTATGAGGGGAAGAATCGAAAGAAAGAGAATCAGTATTGTTGTTGCTAAACATGCAAACCTTCCCAGCCGGAGAGGTTTTATTCTCTGTCGGGGACTGATTGGGAAAAAAAGAATAAAAAAAGAGGTTTGCGTCTGAGAAGCAAACTTCCCCAGCCGGGGAGGTTTGCTTCTCAGGCGCAGATAGATCAGTTGCAGGACGGTCAAGAGCTACCGTCCTGCAACTTTTAGATGCAGCCTTACTCCAGCAGATCGAGATCAGCTAGTATTATATTTTAAAATTACCATTTCCAGTGGGGTGGCAGTAGGGGTGGCAAGGGCTCTGTTGGGGGTGGCAAATGCCACCCCGGCCACCCCTCTGGCTCCACCACTTCTTCTGGGACTTCCCAATTATAAAACATTATTGGAAAGACATCAATAGTGCCTTAAAAGATATTTTAAGCAGAACATTCCTTTGGAGTTCAAGCTCGTGCATTTTGGGATAATTTCCCAAGAAGCTTCAAAAAGTAACAAAAATCTGATGACTATTTTATTAGCAGCGAGTAAGAAAAACATTACAAGAAAATGGTTATCACAGGACGAACCAACCTTAGATGACTGCATTGACATAACGTTTAACATGTATATAATTGAAAAAATAACAGTCTCTCTCAATCACAAGACTGAAACATTCAGTAAGTAGTAGCAGATTTAGGTAGACTATGTTAAACCTAAAAGATCTGATTTCATTTCTGAAGATCAAACTTGTTTGAACCTTTCCTACAATCCATTCTCCTAAGATAGCAATATTCTATAATTATTTATACAATTGTACTTCTTCTCTCACACTCAATTTTACTCCTTACCTTATAATCTTTCTCAAGGAATGTAGTTGCATTTTTGATTTTTTTCTGTCATATGGCAATGGTCTATTTGTGCACCTTCTTTCAAATGTTAGAGTTGATTTTGTGATATAGATGCCTAAGACCATGTCTGAGTGATAGTTTCTTGAGAATCAATAAAGATAAAATTAAAAAAGAAGACAAAAAGATAAGCAAAAAAGGTAAAACCACCTTAGTATATAAAGAGTGAGAAAGCTCGAAATAAGCACAAATAAAATAATTTTAACATCAATGGTCGCCATATGTAGTTTTCAAGGTAAGAAAACACATTTTCTGTCATAATTCATTTACAAATTTTCCAAAAAGAAAAGAATCAAAAATAAAAAGAAGACAAAAATAGAAAGAAAAAATAAAAACCCATAATAATATATAATAACCAAGGCAATAACAAATAAAGGCAAATAAAATAATAATATGAACATTGATCCCCATACGTAGTCTTCAGACTTGACGTTTTCTGCTTCAAAGCTAACTTCCCCAGCCGGGGAAGAATCGAAAGAAAGAGAATCTGTATTGTTGTTGCTAAACATGCAAACCTCCCCAGTCGGGGAGGTTTGATTCTCTGTCGGGGACTGATTAGAAAAAAAAGAATAAAAAAAGAGGTTTGCGTCTGAGAAGCAAACCTCCCCAGGCGGGGAGGTTTGCTTCTCAGGCGCAGATAGATCAAAAAGAAAAGAATCGATCTCATCATAAGCTGAGAAGCAAACCTCCCCAGCCGGGGAAGTTTGCTTCTCAGTTGAGGAAGGCAAGGAAGGCGTGAAAAGAAAATAATCAAAAACATCATAGGTAGACGAAGTGCTGTTGTCCTGAGACCTATCTGTTTTGTCTTCTGTACCAGGTAATAACTTGTCCCACAATTTTTTCATTCCAGTAGTGACGATGGGAAAAAAATAAGCCGAGTAAAATTTCTGCCATACTGGAAAAAGCCTTCCGAAAAAACAGTGGTAAGGTCCGAAGAGTTGGTTGGATATGAACTGGTGTTTTGAAACTCAAGCATTCATGACCTCAAGTTGTCTTTGATCTAGAATCGCATGTCATAGATGATGATGTCATAGTTCTGGGGAATGTCTTGCTTCTGCTCATTGTTATGGAAACGATCAGATCCGTTCTGCATGACCCAAACTATAAACCCTTTGCTACAGCTTCACATAATCACTCGAGATGCCATGATGTTGTGGACATTCAATTAATGAGTCACCTCAAAGTTCTTTGATGGTCGTAAAATAGCTATGATGTTTGATTCTGGGGAAGAAAGTGTAGGAAATGTTTTATGGGTTGCTTTTAGCCCGAAACTATATGGGGCATCCTTGGGGCAACCCGAGTCACTAAAACCAACCTGGTTCAGTAACAAGTGCAAGTTGTAATTAGGCCTGTCGCGATAAACAATAAATCAATTAATCGCAGGATAAATTAAAACTATCGACCTCATTTCAATTATCGGCTTTGTAATTTCTTCTGGCCTTTTTCTCTTTCTGTTGATGACACTGAATGAAAACAGACTCAACTCCGGTGCTCTCCACTAACCCTCCCTTCCTCATTTCTTTAGTGTAATGCCCAGCACGCCCTTCACGATCTTAGAGCTGTCGGTCGATTGTCGGCCCATTTTCAAAACCTGAGAGACCACACATTAGACAACAGAAATTCTAGGTATAACGGTTTGATTGAAATGTGTGATGTCCAACAATGGGCACAAAATAATAAGTCCAGTTAACTAATTTTAAAACCAGATATTAATCAATGCTTTACTATAATCTACCTACAATGCATGTGGCTAGTGTCAGTCCTGTCTGAAGGAAAATCATTATAATCTATTTAGGTCACTTTAACGAAGAACAGCTGAAAAGTTACTGGGTTTATCAACTGCAGTAGAAATTTTGCTCCGACTCCTCCCAAGGAGAATCCGCGCTTTCTGATTGGCTACCTGTCACATTCAACAGGCTGTGTTAACGCTTCCAGTCAGGGAAAACCCTTGATTTAGATTAGAGCGGTAAAGTGTATCTGTCTTTGGCAGGAAATCGCATGTATTATTACGTAATTTCCATTAAATCAGTGTAAAAAGGTCTTCAAACAATATTATCGTTTATCGCAATAATTTTTGACAAATTAATCGCTCAGCAAAATCTGTTATTGTGACAGGCCTAATTCCGTGTCATATTTTCTTGGCTGTAACATTTTTTCTTTTGGATTTTCTGGGACAAGTGGCTCTGACCCCTTATCAGGGTCCACAGTGATGCTCCATGTGCAGCTAATGCCATTGTCGTAGCTGCTGGGGTAGTTCCAGCTGGTGAAGGTGCCCGACTCACCAGTCAAATCCTGCAGACCTCCACACGCTGGACATCAAAGACAAATGTTGAAGTTTGGCAGTGCAGCAGAGAGAAGCTTTAGGAAGCATCATTGATTTGTAAGCTTTAAAAAATTCATTATGTTACATTAAGAGGATTATTTTTACTCTGAACTACAAACATTTATTTTGATTGATTTTAGTTGTTGAAATAGTAAAAGCCATGTTAAAAATAGGATGCAGATTTTCTGCACTAATAACTTTGCAGCTGAGTAAAAATGATGTGACAAATGGATAAAATGTGCTCCATTGTATTAAGGTCAGCATAAGAAAAAGGGAGATTCCGGAGGTGATAATAAGCTGTGATCTACTTCCATCATGGAGTCTGGATGACGTATGTGCTAATAATGACCAAACTGTGAGGTGGCTTGTTGCTGTAAGACTGGCCATGGCTTTTATCACAAAACAAAAAAAAAAAGACTACTTAATTAATTTGTCTGTTTTATTTGAACATTACTCTAAATCCAAAAAGATAATATGCTAATGCACTAATTTTTCATTTAGCACACTTACCTTCCCCTGAATAAAATTGTCCAAATAAATGCTAAGGCATTCATTTACCTGGCTGTTTCTTAAACTTTCAGTTGAGGAAATAACATTTATATTGGAGTAATAGTTATCGACTCTTAATAAGTTAGAAGCTCATATTCATGCTCTTATTTTGAAGTATATTAAGTTAGATTGCTTGCCATCCGCCAATAAAAAACTAAAGAAGAAAAAGAAGTAGATTAAAAATGTCTATGCAACAGATCCCTTTCGTCTCATCGTGTTCGTCAGCAAATGACACTTTGGCTCTTTTCACACTGCAGCCAGAAGTGGCACAAATACTTTTTAAAAAATTTTATTTGCCTTAATACGGCCTTTATCTGATCTTTTCATGATAGTCTGAACAACACAGACTTTTAATGCAACCCAGGCTACTTGGATATGTGGCCCTGAATCCGATACGAGTCTGATCTTTTTAAACGAGACCCCGGTGTGTATGGCCTGGTCGCGTTCATCCGAACGTAACGTCATTGATACACGACAAAATGTCACTACTCTGCGCCCTGATATGCGCAAGAAAAACAACCATGGTGGACGATAACCAGGATTAAGGTGTTGATGTGATGGCTCCGGTCAGACATTTGCATCCACGTTTACTTCCACAAACACTGAGCACTACTTCATTTTTGTGACGGTTGGCAAAACACTGAGCTAGCTCTATGATATGTGACGTTGTTTATTGCGCCATCTGCTGCGCATGCGGTACATTTTTAGTTCGTTTGCGGTTCACATACAAGTCGTATATATTTGGAAGTGTGAATGACCCCTTTCATTTATTTGCTAAAAATAAATGAAAACTTTGATCTCACAAAAAATAAATAAATAAATCTGAATTGAGAAAATGGGCAAACAGAACCACTATTGTTCTGACCCAAAAGTTTTGCACTTTCTCTCCTGTTCTGCTATGAAAAGCAGACGTGTTCAAGTGGGTTGATTCTTTCAATTCTTTACTTTGGTTTTGTCTTCTCCAACTTTTCCCTTCATTACAGTTAAGTATAAGAACTCCAAATTCCTTGCAAAAAAATGTGCTAGCATTTAAACCTCTACATCACATTACATGTTAATGAGTTATGTTTTTATTCAGAAATTTATCAGTCTTTCAGAACTTATTTGGACAAATGTGTTCATATCATGTTTTCTCTTTGTTCCTTTTTCTGTATTTGATTTAAGTGTAGATTAATGCATTCTGCTTTTGTTTTAAGCTTTCATTTTTTATTGCTTTGTTGCAGGATGACCTACAAATTAGCTTTAAACTTCTGCATAGAAATGGATGTTTTAACTTGGCTTCAAGGCCCCTTTTTGCCTCCCGAGCAGTAAAGTATATTAACCGTTTTACTGCAGCTGCTAATGTAACATTGAGCTCCCTGATTGTGATAATTTTTCCTTTTCTTGCAATCAGCAGAATTTGTCTTATTGTCCCAAAGTCAAATCCTCATGTTGGCTTTTTCAGTTCTGAATGCTTCACCACAACTTCTTGTTCCTTCTCTACTGTCTTGCATCTAAATTACCTTATTTTCAAATGATAAAATACTCACCTTTTGATTGAGCAGAGGAATCAGGCTTGTCTGTAAAGTAGAGGGTAATAAGGGCGATGCAAACACACGACAATGTTATGAAAAGAAACATCAACATTTTCTCCAGGTTACTCAGTAACTCAGTTACTCACGATGACGGAGATGCACCAGACTGAGCCTTTTTCACAAATTCACCGGCTTATTAACAATCCAAGGAGAAATGAACCTGAACTTTGACCACAGCCGTGGATTGTTACCAATAAATTTTGAAATATTTGATCAGCTGATGACCAGCCTATTTCATTGTAATGGTGGTTGCAATAAATTGTTTACTCATTTTCATTCTTTTTTGTTTTGTTTTGTTTTTTGCTTTTTGTCTCACTGCCATTTCTTCTAACAAAGTTCATTTTTTTTGGTGATTCGGGCTTGCATGAAAAGCACTCAGATATTTGCAGCAGTGACGTTGCCTGTATCCACGCGCTCAAGGTAGACATCTTTCAAAAACTGGGCAAATGTGGCGAGTTCATCCTTCCTTTTCCTCTCATCTGCAGGCTTCCTGGATCAAGGAATCCTCATCAAAGACCTGACTCGCCTCAGGAAGCGCTACCTGCGCTCCAAACATTTCATGTGGGACTTAGTTTCCCTGCTGCCCACTGACTTCCTCTACTTCGCCTTTGGGTTTGAGACCCCCTTGGTGAGAATCAACCGGCTGGTCCGTATCCCGCGGCTCAACGAGGCCTTGGATCGGATGGAGACAAGAACCTCCTACCCCAACACTTTCCGCATCACAAAGCTCATGATCTACATCTTTGTGCTGATCCACTGGAATGCCTGTCTTTACTTCGCTCTGTCCAATTACATCGGCTTCGGAAGCGATCCGTGGGTCTACCCCAACATCACTGACCCGATGTTTGCCTCCATGCGGCGCCAGTACTTTTACTGCTTCTGGTTCTCAGCCCAGATTTTCACCACTGTCGGAGACACCCCTCTGCCAAGCCGGGAGGAGTATTTATTCATGATTGCAGACCTGCTCATTACCGTGCTGGTGTTCGCGTCGATTGTCGGGAATGTCGGGAATGTCATCACGACCTTAAGGGACAGAGACAACGTCTTTTTCCCCAATCACGAGTTGGTGAGTTTCAGAGTTCCTATGTTTTAGTTTTGCTTTGTCAAATAGAGTTATTGGCATCTGTCAATCTGTAAAATACTACTATTTTCTAAGATTTTTAGCAAACTAGCCTTGCAAAATCCAGCCCTTTGTAAAAACATTGGGTTGAGATCTTTGGCTATTGGGAAATGACTGCTTCCTGGAAATGTAAACTCTGTTGAAGTTTAAAATTTTACCCGATCACTAATGTTTAGCTGTGATCTCTATAATTTGCCAGTTTGACGATGTGAAATCTTACCCTGCAGTAGAAACAACCATCCTCCACTGCAAAAAGAGGCGTGCCGATGGCTGTTAACAACATGGCTGCAAATATTAATTCAATACTTGGAGCCGCAGCCAACAAGGACTGAATGACATTGTTCACTTTCTCCCCTGCCATCACTAAAACTGCAGGCAAACTATCCTTGAAAAAGCGTAGAAAATCAGCATCATCATTCACAACTTATCCTTCTCCTTTCGCCGGAGAAATCCACTTCAATGCAAGAAAGCCCAGATGGACCACTGAAAGATGAGAATTCAACAGAAATACATAAGAAGGCAATGGTCAGACTTTGTCAAACCGCAATGAGAATCATTATCCAAAAATGGAGAAAACGTGGAAAAGCGGTAACCTTTCCAGAAGTGGTTGACCGAGCAAAAGAACTTGGGTTATGCAGCAGGAGAATGATCCACAGTGGAACAGTAAGTCCACCTAGCAATGGCCTGAACAAAACAAACAAATGGCATTGAAGTGGCATAGTCAAAGTCTGTACTTCAATCCAATTGATATGCTATGGTATGACCTTAATCAGACTGCAAAGTCTTGCAACCCATTCTGTGGCTAAATTTAAAAAAAAAAAAAAACTACAGGAAAAAGTGGACCAGAATATTATTCCTATAAATATAACAATTTGAAAACTGCATTTCCCTTTTATTCTATTCAGGGTGGCTGATATTAAAATGTGTTTTTCAAAATATTTAGTAAGTAAAAAAAAAAAAATCTGAAGAAATCTAAATGAGGCTGATTGTTCTCACAGAACTGTCCTAATTCTCTCGAAAAACATTTTTTGCCTCGGTGCATGGAAGACGAACTTTTATTTCACCCCTTCAGGTGAAAGCATACTTGCGCAGCCACCACATCAGCAAGGAGCTTCGACAGCGCATCGACAACTGGTACCAGCATCTTCACATCAACAAGAAGATTATGCGGGAGAAAGAAATCCTGCAGCAGCTGCCCTTGCACATGAGGACAGAGATCGCCGTCAGCGTCCACCTCCCGACCCTTTCTAAAGTCACCATCTTCCAGAGCTGTGAGAAAAGTCTGCTGGAGGAGCTGGTTCTGAAGCTCACAGCTCAGGTCAGGGGGGTTCGGTGGCACACTGAGGTCCACCAGCGTTCAGACAGCAGCAGCAACAGGAATTGAGTCTTTGCAGCATTTGTGCAACGCCAGTAGCGATCAACTTGTCTCCCTTGCACACTGTTGCATTAAATACTTGGTATCTCGGGCCTTTTGTCTCGCAGGTGTTCAGCCCAGGAGAGTATGTCTGCAGGAAGGGAGACGTGGGCCATGAAATGTACATCATCAAAGAGGGGAAGCTCGCCGTCGTAGCAGATGACGGCGTGACAGAGTTTGCGGTGCTGAGTGCGGGGAACTTCTTTGGAGAAATTAGCATCCTGAACATCAAAGGTAGGACAGAGGCGCTGCGTGCTTCCATGAATTTGGTCTTTAATTGAGTGGTCGGCAGGTGGTTTTACCCGAGTTGACCAGTAGGTGGTGCCATGGTGTCATGAAAAGGAAGCCTACAAATTGTTCCCAAGACCAAATGTATGTACACTTTTAAATTCAAGCAAAGTTACAAAAAAAAAAAAAAAAAAAAAAAAACCTTGCAAAGTTTTCTGGAATTTAGTAAACAGAAATAATTTTGGTATTTCTTACTAACTTAAGACAAGTGAAGTATGGTCTGATTTAATTTCAGAGAGTGAGGTAAAAATATATTAGTGTATTTTCATTCAGTGTGAAATGTCTGGTTTCAACTGTAGAAACAATTCTGGAGGATCCTGAATGAATAATATTAACATTTAAGGTCTTGTCTACTTCAGGATTATATTAAATCCTTAAGAAATGATGATCCCCCCCTCACACCCACCTCTCCACCCCAAGGTAACAAGTCAGGTAACCGTCGCACTGCCAACATCAAGAGCATCGGCCACTCCGATCTGTTCAGCCTTTCCAAGGAGGACCTGACCGACGTGCTGTCTGAGTTTCCTGCGGCCAAGCGTCACCTGGAGGAGAAAGGCCGGCAGATCCTTATCAAGATGGGGATGTTGGAGGAGAGGGCCGAGGTGGAGGAGGCGGCGGCTGAGAAGGTTGAGACGAAGGTAGAGAGGCTGGAGAGCAGCCTGGAACTCCTGCGGACCAAACTGGCCCGGCTCATGGTGGAGCTGGAGTCGAGCAACAGGAAGATGAGGGCCAGAGTGGAGCAGCTGGAGATGCAGGTCGCCGTGCTGGACATTCACCTTCCACCTGATGAGGAAGGTGGGGAGGGGGCGTCGGGAAGAGAGGACGGGGTAGGAGGAGAAGCTGACTGGGAGCGGGAGGAAGCAGAGGGAGAGGAGGAACGTGGGGGAAAGCAGGGAGATGATGGCGATAACGACGTGGCCAAAGAAGGAGACGGCGAGAGCACTAAAAGCACAAAGGATGAGACTGAAAGAGTGGTGGTGGGTGATAAATTTGATCTGAAGGACTCAGACTGTCTGAAAGGCAAAGAAAGTGATGGAGAGGAAATCACAGAGAAAGGAGACGAAAGACCTGGGAAAGGTGATGGAGCTGAGATTGAACCGAGGAATCAGAAACACGACCCAACTGAAGAGGGAGAATCGGTGGACAAGGAAAACCAAAGAAGATGAAAAAGACGCGCAGGGTTCAAATGAAAAGAAAATAAGACATGTAAACAAAGTTAAACATTTTCAGTGTAAGTTAAACATGTTTAGAATAGCACAGGGTCAATGAGAGGAGGATTTTATGTGTGGAGAATATCAAGGAGACAATTCTGTTGTAATACATCCATCTTCCCCTAGATGGCAGCATTTTCCCCACAAGATGATTTTGGCCTAAACCAGAATGGTAGTTTATGTTAACCTTTCTCACTATGATGGAGATGTGTGATATGTGTAATATAAACAATTGTTTGACAAGTTGTGGCACAACACTGTTCTTTACATATAGTGTATTATGTATATCTTTTTTTGTTCTTTGTAATTATAATAAATGGACATTTATTTATTTTTATTTTATTACAAATCAAATTTACTTCTCTGTTTACCTCACTGTTTAAAATATATCAGTGAAAAAAAGTATTTTATTGTTAATAGTAATCTGATATATTTTTCAAATCTAAAATTTTGTGTGTTACTTTAGTCAATGTCCTCTTGGTTTGTATTTCCAGATATATTTTCATTGTTAAATTAAGTTGAGATGATTAAAATTTACTAAACAAAACCATAACATTATCGTCCTGGGTTTACTTTATTGATGTTTGCAAGTTGGGCTGCAGAGAGGCACAGTTGGTAGCACTTTTATCTTGCAGCAAGAAGGTCCTGGATGGTGTTGGCCATTATTTTATTTAAGGAAAATGAGAGTAAAATAAAATTTCGCCTCCACCTTGTTCTGGAGCTGTGATGTTGGCGGTATCTAAAACCCCATAACTAATTAGAATTAATTTATATTTTATTTAATAAAACGAAATGGAATCAAACTGAACTGCATTTATTTAGTTTATAATTTATATAGTAATTTTTATAATTTAATAGTAATTTTAAAAAAGCTATTTATTTCCTCTTGTGTTCAATTTCAGTTCTAAGCTACCTTTCATTAAACCTTTTAGACCTTTAAAGGACATTTTATATGCAAAACAACAACTGTATCTATGTCTTAAGAAGTCTTTTTATGCGTCTGTGTTTTGATCAAAATAATACCTTCACGTTTGCTTGCTGTCAACGTTTCCTTCAGTAAGACAAAAATGACACACTGGCCCTTTAATGACGCAGGGCTGACGCACTTCCCGGAGGTGCAGTGGGGACGCAGGCCCCACCGATTCAACAGAGCTACACAGAGAGGGACTTCCTAATAACAAAGCCCTGTTTGGAGGTTATTTTCATGGAGTACTACCGTTAAAACATATGGAGAGTCAAGAGGAAAAGCCAGTCATCTATACCATGGAAAACAAGCCGATTGTAACATGTAAGTGATTGACAAAACGAGACGCTCAGCTCCACTTTTCCTTCTCTTGACAGCTAGCCTGCTAGCTGTATTCATTAGCTCTTTTTAGCTGAGCTGGCTGTCACCCTCAGCTTGGAGATGCTGCTTGTCTGTGTGGCGACTTCGCTTCTACCTGTCCTATTTTAATACGCGCATAATTAGCACTCGGCTGCCGTCCACAAAACGACCTCGTGAAACACGGCACTTCTTCCAGCTAGCTAAGTAGCTTCGCTGTTTTACCAGGCCGAGCCAGGGATTGAAGCGTCACGTCTATGTGCTGCAGTTTTGGGAAGGAGACCGTCCTGTCCACTGCTATCCTGCGACTGCTGTCTCTGTTAGCACCTGCGACACTGTCGCCCCACTTGATGTTTGAGGCCAGGTTACCATTCATAAATCCCTGAGTGTCTGCTGGAGGCTTGTTAGAGGGGTTATTTTAGGAGGGAATGCCAGCTGCATCTCTCAGCGCAGACTGCTCCATTTTTAGCGCTGGCCCAGGAGGACACAGAAATACTGCAAATCAGAGTGAGAAATGTAAAAGTCAACGTGATCATAGGCTATTGGGAATGTGAAGCACATGGTGACTGTGGGTAATCAAGTAAACACTCAGGTGGTGCTGAGTTTAGGGCTCGTTTCCTTTTTTCAGTCTCAGTTTTGGTGATAAATGAAATGTTTAAGTTGTCGATTTCCTGACAAATGGAGCCGCCAATAATTCAACCAGAGGTCAGAGTCTGCCCACTTTCCTAGCTAAGAACTCATGCTAGATTTTCATAATGTAAACACAATCAAAACCATGTACCTTAATGTACTTTTTGTGGTTTGACTAGTAGATTCTTGTAATTCTGTAATCTGGAGCTAGTTTGAATGTCATGTCATATTTAGCCAGCCAGAGTCTCAAACCATGCTCACATGGGATATTAAAGACCAAAATGCTTGATATTTCAGCGTGATGGACAGATGAGAAAGAAGAAATAAGGAAAATAGGTTTTTATATCAATATTCTGGGGTAAATTTTTTTTTCTTTTACATGAGGTCTTAAACAAAATCCTACTGGTTTTACTGTAGGTCGCAATAAAAATATGCCGTTATTTGTTAAAACAAATTGTGCGTCTGTGATTAGGCAAAACTAAATCTACTTAAATAACAAGAGCTGCAATAGTCTAAACTTTTTTATTACTTCAAATATTTAGATTGTTTTGTTCTGAAAAAAGGGGCAATAAAATTGTTATAAACTGTCTATACACACAAAATACACCAAAGAAATAATACGTTAAGGCATTTTAGGCAATAAAATGTTTAGTTTCTTATTTTAAAAAATTTAATTATTTGCTGATTTTGAATAATACATATGTATATTTTTAATTTTGTATAAAACAAGCATAAGTGGTTAAATGAAAAATCTGCACAATATGCCTTTTTTTGTTTGTTTGTTTTTTTTAAATCAGATTAAACGTCAGAGAAATTGATTCCTGAAGTAATTGCTTGCTGCAGCCCTGCATCATTTTGTACTTTTGCTTTGTAAATTAGGCTCTTCCTAAATTAGCATGTAGAGAATTTAGCTGTATGATAGCGAGGTTAAGGTCACAGTTGTCAGGCTTAGAGGCTCACTTGGACTTGGATCTCAAACATGTGTTTGCCGTATAGGTTTTGAATTTGAACTATTGAAGCCTCTGTTTTTGGTTTGGGTCTACAGAAACAGGGCCTTCCTAAGAGAAATGAAGGACGACAAATCATTGTCGTTGGTCACCAGTGTTTACAGTCGGATAGTTTTCTGATTTAGAGGATCAGATTTTACAGACTCATACTAAACTGACCAAATAGTCTGTTCTCTGCCAAGTATGCATTTCTGACTGTCAGCATGTGTTGTGATTCATAGTTTGTTGCTGTGTGGATAACAATCTGTACAGGTTTTAGTATTTTATTTCTTAAAAAATAGACGCTATTTGGGATTTCTATTTTTTTCCATAATGACAAAACTATTCCTGGTTAATATGAGTGCATGAGTATCTCAATGCAGTAGCCTAAAGTGTTTTCATTGACTTTTATTCAAATACTTCCTCATCAGATAAAATGTTCCATCAGTATCAAATTCTCGACATAAGTACTGTGATTTTTTCCCCCCAACTTAACTGTTTGTGCTCACAAACATACTTTGACCCAGAGTCCAGTAAGGTTTGAACTCAGTTAAAAAAAAGATACTATAATGTTCTGAAAACACTTGACCAGAAATGCTCGTAGCTTCGGCACTTGTTTCTAAACTTGTGTCTGACTCGACCGCTGTGATTGTTGCAGTGGCACGGTGAAGTTGGCGTGCTTTCAAATCGGGACATATTTCATTGCTGTTGCACAAAACTGTCCAGAAAATGTATTCATAAACTTGTTGATTAGCTTTAAAAGTCAGAAAGTCAAATGACAAAACCTTTCATTTTTGCTTAGCCGGGACAGCTGGGGATGTTTGAGCTGAGGTGAAAACATTTGTTGTAAGAGAAAATCCAGATTCATTAGATCATAGTGTTTTTTTTTTTAAGAATTGGCTGTTTTAAAATGGTAACTTCAGGGTGTTTTGCTAAGGACTCTGATGCAAATCTGGGGCATCCCTGTTATTACTACTGAGCTCTGTTTGTAAAATAAATTTTTCATGTGACAGCGGAGCCCAAGGTCGACTCTGGGACTGCGAACCGTCCAGAGTTCGCAGTCCCATTGAAACATTGAAACTGTTGCAGGACTTTGGTATCTTTGTTTTAAGCAATATAACGATTAAATTCTTTTTAGATGTGAACTGGAGCAAATGTAGCTGTCCTATTAGAAATGTATGGCGCTGTTTAAAGTCTTTAAGTCTGCATCAGGTGCTCCACACATGGTTTTTACAACCTCGGTGCTTTTTATATCTCCATTGTTCCAGACCTGTGTGGTTTGATGACCGTTTTAATGAGAAGGCAGCACATTTAAACGGACGCCCGACCTGGACACAAAAACTTTTGTGTTTTGAAGGCTGGATTGTGTTCATTACTACGTCAGGTTTTTGTAGCAGCTACTTCATGAGTGGGCGGACACTGTCTGTCTGGACTGCAATAAGAATGAGCTAATTCTTGAGGTGTTGCACATCCCAGGTCCTGTTGTCTGTAAAATAACTGGTGACACTTCTTGTCGTTTAATGCGTAAAAAGATTAAAAAGCTCAAGACTAAGGTGGTGAAGTCATAAGCTCCTTTCACAAAACACTTCAAGGAGGGATTAAGTCGCCTTTTGCAGTCTGGCACTAGATTGGGAATAAAGTTAAGCCCACCTCAGTTACATAGGTGGGCTTAACACTAACATAGTCGCCATCTTGGTGTCTGTGATCACAGGCTGTTGCTGGCTAACCTCCTCAGCTAACTAGCTTTGTAAGTCGATGGTGTGATTTTGTTCACCCTAGCTCTTGTTAGAAAAAAACGCAGAGATTTTATGCTGGTTATAATTTTTGCAGGGCTGCAACCGATGATTTCTTTGGTAATTTGGATAAAACACTGGCACGTTCTGCAAGTATTTCACAGGGAAATAACTAAGCAATTAAATTAAAAGAATGGGACATTTAAAAAAAAATTGCAAAAGCCTGTTCTTTTAAATGTTCTATGAATTCAAAATATTATGCTCTTTATTACTACATTTGATGAAACTGATTGCCTTCCATGTTGGTGGACTTCTTCTTGCCTCTTAAAGTTTTTTTTTTTTCCCATCATGCAGTCGTCTCTGCCAGTTTGCGAGAGACTTTGATGCGTTCAGGTGTCTTTTTGCTCTTTTTCTTTAATCATGTGTAATCAAGAGTTGCTTTTAAGTCTGTAAAGGCTGTCGGTGTCTCCAAATGCAGTTTTTGCTTGTTTAGCATGTTTGGATTCTCTTCTCGCTCCCTCTGTTAGCTTTATCTTTACAAAATTTCTCTTTTGCAATTCCCCTGTGTTACTG